TTTTTTTTTTTTTTTTTTTTTTTTTTTTTTTTTTGTGAGGCAAGCTATCGTGTAGCCCAGGCTCACTAAATAGCTGAGGATAACCTTGAACTCTTGATCCTCCTGCTTGAGTGTGTTAGGCTTATGGGTGCGGCTGTGTGCCACCACCCCCTTGACTTTCTTCTTGCACTGGAAGATAAAAAAGTACACTTTAACTTCTGAATTTTACATCTCAGCAAATGTCAAAATATAAGATAAATATTCTGTTTATTGAAAAGCTGTTCTTTGGATCTACAGACAGCACATTCTTTTCTGGACAGCAGTCAATATTTAAACTGATGACCCACACCTCCAAGACAGAGGAAATGCTTCAACTTCATCTCTTCTAGGAGAAATGGATGCAGAGCGCAGCACAAAGAAAACTAAAAGACAAGGCAGGCATGACTGGCTGCACATATTTTTCTCCCCATGCATTGACTGAATGCAATTTGGGGACATTTTTTTTTTCCTTGCACAATCTCAGGTGATATAGAGCAAGGCAAAATTAAAATATTTACAACCGCCTGGCTGCTCTAAAGCTTTCAACTCTTTGCCTCCGTTCTGTGTTTGATTTTATGCTTGTTTCTAACTGTGTGTGTGTGTGTGTGCCTGTGTGTGTACCTGGAACTAGGTTTCATTTCCTCTGATATGTCGATAGCAGTTGCACACACACATACACACACGATAGGGATGACAGTGGACCTGAGGGAAATCTGAGGTCGTTATCTAACTTCATTGCTTGATGACAGGACAGCAGCCCGAGACTAACAAAAATTCAAGGTCCCTCTCGAGGTCGCATAACCAGTTTTGCTCACTCACCCAGTTAGTCAGAAGGGCTAGAATGGTAAGTTTCTCGTGTGTGTGTGTGTGTGTGTGTGTGTGTGTGTGTGTGTAAGAGGGGGGTTGTTTTGTTATTGCTGTTTATGCCCCAGTGTGCCTGTCCATCCTCACGTACTTGATATACCCCCGATTAAGGACCAGATTCCCTGGGCTGGTGAGATGATATAGCAGATAAAGGGCTTGCCTTGCAAACCTGACCATCTGAGTTAAAAATTTGAATCCCATGAAAGAAAGCGCTTACTCATGAAAGTCACCCTCTGACCTCCACACCCACATACATCATGACATGAGCATGCTTACATCTACATGTGCACATACATGATATGCACAATAAAATTCCTCCTAATAATTCCTTTTCACCAGGAAATCCACACATCTTTGAGGTCATGTTCTTATTGCATCATTTGGATCTGATTAGTTTTCAAAATGCAAGATTAGATTGTTTCCTACGGAAATTTACGGTGATGCAAGACAGCAGCAATGGGACGCACATACTGCGGTCTATTTTCAGAGCAGTTGCCCTGTGAAACGCTAAAGAGTGCAAGTTGAACACAAGTAAGTCAAACTCTCCACACATATGCACATAGAAATAATGCTGAATTCTTCCAGAGGCTCCATAGCTTGCTCACACACCTCTTTTTTCTTTTTCTGGGTATCACAGCATAGAGGTCAAATAAACACCAAGTCTCAAACCCTGAACCTGGACTATACTGGAATCCACCTTCACAAATGCTAGGAAACCAAATCCTCTCCAGCCCCTAAATGCGCCTGTGCACCCATGAACACTACACACACACACACACACACACAACTGCAAGACTGACTTGAAAGTCATTAGTTTTAACCGAACACAAGTTGCTGAGTTCATTTCCTGAACTTGGCTCTGATAATGAAAAACAAATTTACCCCGAGTGAATGATCGCTTAGCGAAGTGAGTGTGGGACCGAGGTGGCTTCATGGGCAGCGGAGTACTTTCAGTAAATTACTCCAGTCTGCACATTTGTTTCAGATTACAGTCACCTCCCAGGGTCTGAATTGGTCATGTGAGAATCGGCGGTCCTTACATTTGCTGAGATTTCTCCAGAACACTCTCTCTCTCTCTCTCTCTCTCTCTCTCTCTCTCTCTAACTTTGAATAAGCAAATAGGAGTGGATTTTTGTTGTTTTGTGTTGAAATGAGGTTTGTTAAGTAGCCCAGGTTGGCCTTGAATTTGCGGCAATCCTCCTGCTTCAGCCTCCAAGAAAAAGAGACTCCATTTCTGCCTTGGCTCAGAGAATGGAGGTAGAATGGAGAGTCTAGCCTGACCACTTAGGAACACAGATCTGTATTTCTGCTGCTTTTGTTTAGAGTTTCAGAGATGCCTGAGTAAATTGCTCTAAGTAGAAACATCTCTAAACTGAATTCTGCTTTCTGTAGAGTCCAGCTTCCCTGCATATCTGAAGACCTTGTGGTCTCATCATGAATTAACTTGCAATTTCCCTTCTGGCTGGATAGTGTCACTGTCACATTTTACCCAAAGCACAGTGTCTCCCTCACCTGAGGCATCTGTGGATCGTTGATGTCCCACGTGAGTTTCATCCCGTAGGAAAGCAAGGAGTCTGCGTCCTGTGTGGTGTCTGCTGGCATCTGCAGGGACCTCCAGGGCTCTCCAGCCAGGATCCTGAAAGAGAAATAAAAGCCAGGAGTAGGCAGGGTGACTCCTTCCCCAAAATGAGAAGTAGGCTGAGGGGGGTGAGTGAGAGGAGGAGGAGGAGGAGGAGGAGGAGGAGGAGGAGGAGGAGGAGGAGGAGGAGGAGGAGGNAGGAGGAGGAGGAGGAGGAAGAGGAGAAAGGTAGGCGGGGAGCAGAGAAAGACAGACGAGGGTGGGGGAGAAACAGAGAGAGAGACACACACACAAGACATACACACACACAGAGAAAGAGAGAGAGAGAGAGAGAGAGAGAGAGAGAGAGAGAGAGAGAGAGAGAGAGAGAGAGAGAGCGCCACCCAGGTGGTGCCCTGTCCTTGGTTATGGTGCTGAAATGTCTTCCTCTGAAGGCTAGCATCTTTAAACAGGTTCATATCTGACCACTCTGCCTCTACCGGACAACCTCTCCAGCACCTGAAGCCCCAGCATCTTTAAACAGGTTTATATCTGACCCACCCTGTCGCTCTGCCTCTACCAGACAACCTCTCCAGCGTCTGAAGCCCCAGCAGTCAGCAGCAGGTTTCTCCGTCTAGCCAGAGCCAAGAATTCAGAGGAGAGTTAAAGTGAACTCCGAGCGAAGGGAAACTGAAGCTAAGGAGGTGGCCGAGTGGAGCAAGTAGGACAGCTTCATTTTTGCTGCAAACCATCAGCGACTGCTTGTTAACCACTCTGCTACTTCTGCAGCAGGCTTGGATTGGGGCTCTGGAAGCAAAGGGTTCCAACAAAGTCTCCCCAGAGCTCTGAGCAATGGGAAAAGTGAGGGAGCCTGGAGAGGCAGCAGCGGCACCTGCAGCCTAGGGGTCAGCCTCCTTGAAGCTCTGGGTTCTTGTAGAAGTTGCTGTTCCAAAGTCTGCGCTGAGGCTTGGTCAGAGAGTAAGTTTAGCATTCCAGTGAGTTCTCAAGTCTAGGCACATGTCAGGCCGGGACAGTCCCGACCCCCAGAAAAAAGTGAATCTGGAGGCTGGGGTCATGGGACTTTAGGATAGATGGGTAGGGCCGGAGAGTCAACTCTGCATTTGGAGCTCTGAGCCCCTCTCCTCTCTTGGTCAGCCTTCATAGTTAGAGAGAGAGAGACTAGGGCTGTGTAAGCTCTCAGCTGTCACCCATGAGAGCACCCATGTTAAACAGACTGTATTGTCACTGTCATTACTATCCCCAGGAAATCATCTTTATCCTCCGTGGCTTTGGAGGACCAGAAAACCCTTGTCTAGAAAGCTGACGGCTCCCCCAACTGAGGCGACTTTTCTCTTTCATTTTTCTTTTTGATAGATCTGGCACCCAGGACACTCAACATTAGAAAACCACAAGCCAATCTCTCTCTCTCTCTCTCTCTCTCTCTCTCTCTCTCTCTCTCTCTCTCTCTCTCTCTCTCCTTCCTCCTTCCCTCTCTTTCTCTCTCTGGCCACTGCTGCTGTGCAGGATCCCGGACCATGAACAAAGGTGGGCTTCCAGAATCATCTCCTCCCCCGGCTTGCTTTGCAGCCCGCACGCTTCCATTGTCGTGCGCACCAAAACGAATGAAAACTCAAGTAAGTAAATAAGTAGATAAGTAAATAAATAAATAAATAAATAAATAAATAAATAAATAAAATTGAGAGACCAGATCCCACAGGTCGCTCTTAGAGGAGGTATTCCCAGCTCAGGTGCTCACTGGCATCTCAGACCCAGCAGCGCAGCGTGAGTCCCACTTCGCTTGGGCAGTGCCAGGCAAGCGCCTCCTACGGGAGCAATCCCAGATTCTGTGCAAACCCCAAAAGGGCTGGTGCGTTTTACCGCCGGCGTTTCTGCGCAATAACCTCAGAAAATAGGGATCTTGCAAGGTCCAGGGCCGCTACCTTCCAGTCAAGAGCTTGCTCAGTAGACAGTCAGGCTTCACCACAGCCTACCCACCAGTCAGGGACCAGGAGTGAGAGAAGCGGGGAGGCTGCCCGCTGGGAGCATTTCCTGAGCTTTCATCCTCCAGCTCGAAGCTGGGATCTTATTTTAAGTGCAAAAAGTCTTATCAGTCGTGATTTGTAAATCTTCAGAACGTCTCACCGAAGTTCTTTTCTAAAAGCCGCTCTCGCAGGGACCTCACTGAAGTGTAGCTGGGGACAGCAATGTGTCTTCACTTTTCACTGGGACCTCATGTTACAGACGGTGGAGGTCCAGGCTACGTCTGCCATTCAGTTGCTTTATTTGTTGGCTTGGCTTTCAAAATTAAGTTTAAACTATTGATTGTTTTAAAACAAATTTAAACCTTAAAATTAAATGTGACAGCTTAAGACAGTTTATGTTTTTGAATATATTAAAAATAACTTCAAAAGCGGCCAATTAACACGACCGCTGAAAACATATAAAGATCAATTTCTGGCCACGCGGCAAACATCGTTAGAATGTTCCTCCTCTCTATGCTTTTGGAAGATTCCTAGAGCCGATTCTTCAAAAACATAAATGATGGGCCCACGAGTCAGCTTAATGGGTGAAAGTACTTGCTGAACAAGCCTAAAGGTCTGAGTTGGACCCTGAGAAGAGGAGGGAACAGACTCCTGGAGGTTGGTACTCTGACCTCTGCCACACAAATAGAACACAGTAACTTTATGTTAAAGGCAGACTAATTTGTTTGGGGGGAGGGAGGAAACAACCCCCCTCCAATGTCCTCAGCCCAGGGTGGTGGTGCAAACCTGTAATGCCAGTAGCTGAGAGAAAGATGTAAGAGAATCAAAGGTTTGAGGCCATAACAGGTTTCTGAGACCTGGTCTCAGAAAACAAAAATGAAACAGCAAGAAGGTATTTAGTTTGTGAAGAATTCAAACACGTGCTTCGGGTTACCCTCTAATTGTGTGTGGGTAAAATATATTAGTAAAAGAAGCTAATCAAAGTGAAAATCTAAATAAATTGTGGTGTATTGATGCTTCTCATTGCTTTTAATAACATCTGAAGATTGGGATGCATTGCCACTGTAGGGTTCGGGAGTATCTAATTGCTCCCAAATTCTGAAAGTGATATTTCCTGTCTAATGTTAAAAGTTGACTTTTATTCTCTGAAGTGAAATACATTTCAGTTGCATTTCGACCGCCGCTTCTTAGAGATGATGATTTCTTCCCCACGTCGGTATTTGCACTGCTGTAAAGATATTCTGCCTTCCTGTCCGCTGCCGCATTCTTGACCGCTATTTAATATGCAAGAATCGGCTATTCAAGGAAGGAGCAAGCCTCTGAATTCGCAAGGTTTAGGTTAAAATAGGTAAAATAACTGCAGTGTATTGATATCACAATTTTCTGGGAGCTAATCTGTTCAGTACTGGTTAGATAAACTGACACACTTGCAGTTTGTGCAGGGATTTAAACAGGGATTGTAGATACACCTGGTTTTTGTTCAGGTAGGCACACGTCTTCTGTAGCTTGGGGGTACAGATGGAGCTCCGGATCAGTCTGGAGTGCAGAATGAGACTCTGAAACTAAACCAAACCCAAGCCCCCACAGCTTGGTTAGATTCCAGAGGGAAGTAAACGTCACGGGCGTCAGGCACGGGGTGCGAGTTCAGAACGTCCGCAGGTGTGCGCCCAAGTCCGCAGCCTGACCCTGTTGTTGTAGGTACACGTGCTTTCTAGAATCACAGACACCTGAGGCTTGTAGAGTCAGGAGCAGGTTCATCAAATTGGAGTTCCTGGAGCAGACCGAGCTCCAAGAGTCATCTGCGACTATTTCTCGCTTGGCTCACAGTGGGGATCTCGGACTAGCTGAGGCGGGAGCGGTGCTGTGCAGCTGGGCGAGCGGACACTCCGGAGGCAGTGTCGCTTGAGGCCTCGAGATGCCAGAGGCGAGTGACATTTGGGGAGGAGCCCAGCCTCCCTTCTAGGGTCCCAGGGCTGAGGGAGCATTGTGCTCCCTGGCAGGCGGGTTAGGCAGCTCCCACGGGCGCAGAGGCCCCGCACTTTTCGTTTGGCAGTTCAGATAAGTCCGGGGGGGGGGGCGATGCGTGTACCAGGGAACCCTGGGGCGCAACAACCTCTTGGGTTTGCTTGTCGCTGACTGGCAGAGTTCAGGAAGAGGGGGAAACAACAGGGATCCTGATTCCGGGCTCAAAAAGCCACTGCGGAGGGAGAATGGAGGACTGGAACCACGCAGCTCTTTTGCGAGAACTAAGGAGCACTTTTCGCTTCTACAGACCTCTTTGTCTCTTTCCCGGTCCCGGTAACCCAGCCACCAGCAAGAAGAGGACAGTCCTGGCAACAGATAGGGTCTTAATTTCCCTCGAGCGCCCGCTTTTCAGCTCTCAATTTCCCTGCCATGGACTGTGAAAAACTTCAGTCTTCTAGATGGACACGGGACTTTGATTTCTCCTATTTATACATAACGATGGCGACAAAGCTGCAAAATACACTCGGCATTCATTAGGGATTTTGATTAAGTTCCTAGAAATAAGTGTTATTCTAAAGTAGATTTTTCTTTTGTCTTGTGTGAGACAGGGTTTCATTTGCCCAGCTGTTGTAGATTTTCCGTGTAGCTGAAGATAATTTTGAACTCTTGATCAACCCCCCCCCCCCCCCCCAAGTGCTAGGATTACAGGTGGTACCACCGTAGCCAACTCCAGGGTTTAGCAGAGATTTATCTTGTNCAGTGCTAGGATTACAGGTGGTACCACCGTAGCCAACTCCAGGGTTTAGCAGAGATTTATCTTGTGTACCCTGTACTTTCCCATGAAATTGTCAGGGGCAAACTAAGAGTCTGGGGGCTGTGTGTAAAAGCAGAACCCTTGACCAGGCAACACCCCTTGATGAAAATGTACCAGCCCACTTCATGCTTGGAGGCCTCTTCTGTGTGCTGTGGCTGTTTGAACCTGGAAATTTCGCTATATAAGTCCGAATGTTAAACTTTATGTCGTAACTATAATGACATTTTGAATCTAATTCCTTATTATGACTTGTAATACGAATTTTGAATGTGGATTTGGATTTAAACATGAATTTTTTTAACTTATAGCCCCTTTCTAATTTATGGTGCTCTCTATAAAGTTTATATTTATCCTTTATGGACATTTATTCAGGTTTTTTTCTCATGAGATGGTGCTTTGTTTACATAGACCATGTCAACATTAACAAACAACACTATCTTATTTAAACCTATGACTAGTATTATGTACAAACAACAAACTCTGTTCAAAAAAGCAACATAAACTTTTCTTATGTTTATTTTTAGAACTTGAAATGTGTTTTTGACTTATTTTTTTTAAAGACTAACTTTTTATTGCACACAGAAAAATGAAAACTCTCTGCAGTCTGTTAAGGAGGACACTGGAACTGGCAAGACCCAAAGTGCTTTCTGGGTAATGATAAAGCTTGTTTTCTGTTCTATATGTGTTATAGTTGGGAGTTCTGGGGGGCTCAGCACTATTTATTGTTCACTTAGCCTGGAGCAGAGAAACCTTGGCTTTCTCTATTGTGGTACGACGTTATAACCATGCCTGTGGGACTTCACTCAATTATCCCCCCAGAACCCTATGGTAAATTATTCTGTGTTTAGCACCTATTCCAGGCAGAAGTAACCAGCTCTGAATAAATCAAATTCCATGCCTATCATCAGGGAACTTAGAAACCTAATAGGAGCGGGGTTGTAGGGCAAGAAAGCATCTGAACTGCTTCATTTAAGGTGGTCCTGGAAGCCCTGCTTTTAAGTTGGTTCTTAACCTGCTTCTGGGGCAGGAAAGTGAGCTTCCTTAAAGGGACAGTGGAAAGGATAGGGAGTCCAGACATAACTGTGTGAAAAGACCTGAGGCAAGGAAGACCTTGCTTTATTCTAGGTATTAGTTTTCTTTTTCTTTCCTCTGTTGTTTTTCTGACCCTTGGTGGGTGAGCCCGGACTTGAATGTTTTGGTTTCGACTCTGCAACATTACCGAGTGCTTTCACCTGTTTTCCTGTAATCAAAGCACAGCTTTCCTCAAATCCATAGTTCTTCAGCTCAAACAGGGTACACAGGGAGTCTGAGCTCTAAGAAACCCAGAGGAGGTGCAGTTGCTGCAGGAGTCCCCCCCAGCCCTGCACCTGCAGCCACTGCAGGAGCCCTCCAGCCCTGCATCTAGAACTTTTGTCTGATGCTAATGAAGGCTCCGACATTGTGATAAGTGACTATCAGTAGACTATTTTGCTATTTTGTCTAAATAGCAAATAGACCTTTTGTCTAAAGCTAATGAAAACTGACATCTTATTGAGTGATTGTCAACAGACATTTTGCTATTTTGTAGTTCAAGACTGATCTCTTTATTGTATTTTTGCTCTGTTGTTTCACAGCGAATTAGAATCATTATTTGCAGTGATAGTGTTGCCACAGAGGGTCTTTCCCACGCTAGATAAGTGTTCTACCACTAGACCATATCCTCAGCTGCAAAATTACATTGATTCATTTCTTTGGTGGTGCTGCACCTTGAACCCAGCTCCCTGCCTGGTGCTGGGAGAAAGCTCTACCACTGAGCTACACCCCCAACTCTCAGAGAACTTTTGTTGAGTACACCATTATTTTGAACTATCGATATAAAGCCAATGTGCTTTGGAAAACTAGTAATCCACAAACCATCTCTTTCCCAGCTTCAGTCTCTTGTTACTGATGTGCTTCATGGCAAAGGGTTTCACGTAATAGAAGACTATCTTCAGCAGAAAGAGAGCTATGTGCCTCAAAAATATAACCACCTCTTCCTGCGCCATCTTGACAGATTGATAAATGAGGCAAGTGGTTTGGTTTGTCTGGGGACTGAAACCCCAATGCATGCACACCAGGAAGCATTTTGATTTGAGGTCGCTGTGTTCTGATGCCCAGGAACTGGATAAAAAGGAGTTCCAGAATTGTTCCCTGCTTCTGAAATGTATCCAGAGATTCCTTAAAGACGACGGGGGCCAAAAGGAACCCTTGTTAATTCAGCAAGGGCTGATCCCAAAGATAAGTGCACTTCACAGTTAGGAGATGTGGGACAATTTAGAGAATCACTGTGAGGAACTGAGGGTGCTCCCCAAGAGTGAGAGGGAGCACCTGCCTAAGGTGTGCCAGGCTCTGGGTGGGGGTGGGGTGAGTAAAATAAAAAGTAGTGTGCTGGGGTCATGGTGACGCATGATTTTAATCCCAGCACTTGTAGGCAGAAGAAGGAGGAACTTTGAGTTCAAGGCCAGCCTGGTCTACAGAGTGAGTTCAGGACAGCCAGGGCTACACAGAGAAACCCTTTCTCAAACAAACAAAACAAACCCAAAACGAAAAGTTAGTATGAATTTAATTAGATAGTTTGCTATGTTTTCTTCCTTTGAAATCAAATTGGAAGAAAAAAATAGAGCCCATCCTTGTTGCTTCTGTCCCATGCATTCAAATTGTGTGGAACCTTTCAGTTATCCTTGTATCTGAAGTTCTGGGGATTGAACCCAGACTCTGCATAAGCTAGGTAAATGCTCTACTATTGAGCCAGGGCCTCATGTCCCCAAGGCAGAGCATTTGAGGACATATGGAATCACGTAGTTGTGTAATAAATGGCTTGCTGTTCTTGACAAGCCTGTGTGGTGATGGCATCACGCTAGGGGAGAGGGAACAGGGTTGGCTTAAACCAGGCTGGTCTCAAACTTACTATGAGGATGAACTTGACCTTCTGCTCTCCCTGCCTCCAGCTCCTGAGCTGGGCATAGAATATAAAATGCAAGACTTTCTGCATGACACAACTAAGTTATTTCTCAAGCTCCTCTTTGGTTTTAAAATTGTGTCTGTGTGCAGGTACCTGTGGTATTCAGAGATACCAAAACTCTGGAGCTAGAGTTCATAGGTGGTTTTGAACTGCCAGATATATGGGTGATGGAAACAAACTCCGGTCGTCTGCAAGAGTAATTGTTCTTCTAATTGCTGAGCCATCTCCGCAGCTATCCGTATAGCTATAACTACATATTTTTATGAGAGAGATGCTTGCTTATAGCCCCAGGCTAGCCTCAAACTTATAGCGGTCTTCCTGCCTCAGCCTCCCAAGTGCTGGGCTTGCTGTGTGCTCAGCTCAGCTGGTAATGGCATGATAGGGATCGTTTTAGAGACTTGGGGAAGATGAGGTGAGCAGGGAGCTAGTCTCTAACTATTTGAGTAGACTTCCTGAATATGATCAAACAAAGTTCATCAAAAACTTTCTGTTGATCTCAACACATCTCACTCTTCATTCAAGTGTCCCATTCTTACTGCTGTGTGTGACCTTCCTTATAGTAATTCTGGACCACATGCATCCTTTCTGACTTGCTCTTGGTGGATGGGAAGCCTGTCTGATGTGAGAGAAAAGGTTTTTCAGGCTGCTTTTTCTATAGCAGGAGATTATCTTGTAAATCTTGGGGAGTAGGTGGTACTCACTTGGACCATGTGGTTCCATCAGCCTCTCTTCCGTGCACATGGTTTCCTGGTTTGAAACGGTAACAGGATTTCTGATGACCAAAGACACGGCCTCAGATGCACTGCTGACGAAGGCGTTGGAAGACTTCCTCGACACTGCGCTGGTAAGGACAGAAGCGCTTGGAGGGGTGATGCTAACAGTGAGGGGCAGGAATCGAAGTGATTGTAAAACTTCCTTCTGTTTTAAGTTTGGATTTAAAGAAGAAATCTTTTGAGAAGTTGGCTTTTTTATAAGATGTGGATTTAAAAAAAAAAAACCTGCCACATTTATGACTAAGTCATTGTATGAAAGAGTAACAGACATTAAAATAGTCAACCAATGACATAGGAAACTGAGAATTCATTTATTTTATATATTCACATATGTTATTTGTTTGAATGTAGGGAATATGCTCATTTTAATGAAGTAACTGATTCTATCAGCCTTCTAATGGATGGTTTCCTTATATATGTCAGTTAGTATCCATGCATTTGTGTCGGAATGTGTGTGCTTTGGAATAACGAGCTGTACTTTTCCTTTTTATCAGATCATTTCCAGGCACAGCAGGAAAGGTACGTATATGAGCAGTTACTAATTGGCTGGCTTTCATCAAGAAATATTTTTTGCACTGATGGTTTAAGTGACAGCAAGGGTGAAATTTAAACACATCTGGATTGAGCAACCACTTGACATAGTCCCACTGCGATGCTGGAAGGTGTTCTGTTGTAAAATGTGTCTCAGTTTTCTGCAATGTATTTTGCTTAGTGGCTCTTGTCACTGCTGTGTGACTTTCCTCTATTCAGGTGATGGAAGGCCGCTCTGTCTTCAAAGCAGCAGGAGTTTAGCTCTGGTTTGGATCTGGTTTCTGCCTAGGTTCACATGCTAGAGACCTGGTTCTGTCAAGCCTCATGAGAAGTAGATCACTGTGGCAGAGCTCTGAGAAGGGGTTTGAGGTTTGGGGCTGGACTAGAACGCATGAGAATGGGAACTAACCACTTAGTTGTAATTAATTGTTAGAAAGAGTTGGCCTGTTGCCTTTTGCTTTCATCCTCTCTGCTTCCCATGTGACTTCTGCACTGGCTGTGTCCCTACCACTGAGACCCATCACCTGCCCAGGCTGACCTTGAACTGTAGCTGTCTCTCAGGCCAGCCTCAGACTTGTATCTTCTTGCCTCATCTTTCTGAGGAACTGGGAACTTAGGGCTATGTCGCCAGGCCTAGCTTCGTTATTTTTGAAAACTTAAATTCTATGTATGTGTGTGTGCTCGTGTGCGTGTGTGTGCACGCATGTGTGTATGTGAATGAATGAATGAATATATCTCAATGTATGTAAGTGTGGGTTCCTACAGAGGCCAAAGGTGACAGATTTCCCTGAAGCTAGAATTACAGGTGGTTTGAGCAATACAAAACTGCCGTGGCTGCTGGGAACCAGGCAGTGGTGGCTCACACCTTTAATCCCAGTATTTGGAAGTCACATATCTTTAATCCCAGCACTAAGGAGGTGGAGACAGGAAGAGATATGACTGGGTGGAGAGAGGAAGTTAAGGCAGGAGGAGACAGGAGTTCATTACATTCGGTTTGCGGATTCGTAGAGCCAGGATCTTGCCTATTTAAGAACTCTAGTGGCTGGCTGCTCTGCTGCTCTGATCTGCCAGCTTTCCTGCCCTAATATCTGACTCTGGGTTTGCATTTAATAAGACTAATTAGGATTGTGATACATTTTCTCTAGCTCCTCTCAAAATGAAAGCATGATGCTTGGCATTTTCGCTAGTTAGTAGGATACATAGTAGACAGGGACAGAATGTTGCTGGCCAGTTGGGCTTTGTTAGAACCTTTGACTCTAATCTGGTGGGCACAGGGCCTGACTGAGCTTCTGCTTGCCTCAGTTTATCTATTCATGCTAGTGTGGCCTGTTTGAATTGAAGACAGCATTTTTATACTTCCCTGTCTCCTACAATTTACAAATTATACTGGGGTAAATGGTATATACTTTGTGATAACTTATATATTGAGATGATACAACTGAACCTACCAAAATTATACTCTGACCTGGGCATTAATTTTTTGTTGTGTTCACTATTTCCACTTACTACCTTAATATAAATCCCAAACTGTAAAAGTTGCTCTTTTAGTTATATACAAAATAGTATTTCTCATTCTGTTTTTTTTTCTGATATATAAATAGCTGTGGAAATGTCTGTGTTATATTAATAAAGATCAACTTATTTAAAAGTTTCTGCTTCAGAGTTAGACCTTATGGCATTTTAGTTTGTATGTTATATATAATATTTGTATTATTATAATGCAATTTCGTATAAACCATGTAAACAGCACAACCCACATGCTGGCTCTTAGAACATTGTCCATTGTGGACAGAAAGTGGCTTAGTTCAGGTTCCAGCACTGACAGTGATGATACCCACACTTTGCTCGGGCTGCTGTTACAGTCCTGTGGGTATTATGTAAGCAATTGTCTTGTAACCTGGGGGCTACCGTGACTGTAGCTGACTGTACGGTGACTGTAGCTGCCTGGCTGTAACCTGCCCCTTGCCTAGACTGTCATTCCTGCATTGGATACTGCTCCCAGCTTGTACTCCTTCCTGCTGCATAGGAGTCGGTTCCGACTCCTTCCAGCGTCCATTTGATGCTTTCACAATTGCGCTTTCAGGGACAATCCAGATGCTGGATTCCTTCATACTCAGTTTAGGATGGCTGGTGGCGGACGGCACCGTGGAGCTCTCCATTCATCAGGAAGTGAGTCGTCACTAGGAGTTAAGAGTTGCCCTGGAAACTCAGAGAAGGCGCGTGCGACTTTTCATTTTGTTTCTTTACCGTGCATGAATCGTCCTTCCGATTCTGAACAGGCGCTGAGTACCCTGAACTGCATTTTGGACGCTGCACCCCGGGAAGAGAGAAGAAAGCTCTCTTCAGCAGAAGGCACGTGCCGTGTTATGTAAGTGACCTCACACTCAGGTGGTGGTGGGAGCCCCAAATCTCTGTACTGTTCTTTATCCTCTGCACGCCCACCTATGCCATTCCTTCCTTTAGCGCGTGCCTTGTGAGCTCACCCATTATCGGGCTGGAAGGGACTGAAGATCAAGGGACAGACTGTGCCAGGCTCTGCTCTTAACCGCGCAGGTTCTCTTTTTTGTTTGTTGTTTTGCCTTTGGCAGTGAATCTGTGGGCCAAAATGTCCTCTCAGCTGGTTACATAACTGTGAACTCCATTGTTGACTTAGGGTAGAATGTCAAGGGGCGTGTGTGTATGTGTGTGTGTGTGTGTATGTATGTAGGTATGTACATGTGTGTGGAGCTCACTGACCCTGGTATTTCTTAAATAAGCTAGGCTGGCTGGCTGAGTCCCAGAAAAACTCCTCCTCCCCAGACTTGGGATTACAAGGTTTTTGGGTTAATAATTAATAGAATAATTCTTTGTGGCTTTTTCAGGAACCCATACCATTATTTTACCCACCTCCCTCTTCTCCTGTATTTTCCTCTCTTCCCTGAGGAGCCCTCGTTCCTCTATTAGACCACTCCTCCCCTTTCTCCTCCCATGGCCTGTATTTCCCTCTCTTCCCCTTACTTCCTATTCCTATACCGTATTTTCTTTATCAGATCACGTGTGCTCTGCTATCCCCTCTATTGCTCCACAACTCTCCTACCCTGGTAATTGTTCCATTTTACTTCCTGGTTTCTGTAGCTACTACAGGCAGTGTGAAGAACGGAAGGAGGAGCTTCCACTACGAGAGGTCATTGAGTGTCTTTCTGGGTTACCTCATATGATCTCTCATAATTCCATTGGTTTGCCTGCAAAGTTCATAATTTAATTTTTACTTACTGTTGAATAGTATTCCATAATGTATAGATACCACATTTTGCTTATCTTTCTTTGGTTGTGGGGCATTTAGGTTGCTTCCATTTCCTAGCTATTGTGACCAGAGCAGCTATGAACATGGCTGACCAAATATCTGTGGAGTACAATATTGAGTCCTTTGGGCCTATGCCAAAGAGTGGTATAGCTGGGTCATGCGGTTGATCTAGTTTAAGCTTTTAGGTTTCTCTACACTGATTTCCATGTTGGCTGCACGAGTTTGCAAGCCTGCCTACAATGAGTGAGAGTTCAGTTTTTACCACACACCCTCCCACCCTTTGTCAGCTCTGCTACTGACCTTTAGCATTCAGACTGTGTAAGATGAAATCTTAAAATCATTTTGATTTGCGTTTTCCTAATTGTTATAGATGATGCACATGTTTTGAGGTATTTCTTAGCCATCCTTTTCTTCTTTTGAGAATTCAGGTCTCATTTTTTGAACGGGTTATCCATTTATTTTTACTTTTTGTTTGTTTGATTTTTGTTTGTTCTTTGTGTATTTTGGATTTTAACCTCTCTTCCAGTCTGTGGACTTTTTCTTTGCCTGGATGACTGCTTTATAAGCTGTGCAGAAGCTTCTCAGTTTCATGAAGCCCCACTTGTCTATTGTTAGTCTTCACTCATGCATATATAGAAAGGACTTCCTGACCAGGACTCTCACACCTGTATCATGGAGGGTTCTATCTATGTTTCCTTTTATCAGGTTCAGTGTTTCTCATTTAGATCTTTGACCCCTTTGGGGTTAGTTTTTGTGCAAGATGCTAGATACAGGGCTAATTTCATTCTTCTTCATATGGACATCCAGTTTTCCCAGCACCATTCATTGAAAACGATTCCCTTTTTTCCGACTTACGTTTTTAGCATCTTAGTTAAGTATTGTCTAGAGTGAAAGGTGAATTACTAGTGTTGGCTTCTATTTATTTTGTTCCATTGGTCTACATGGCTCTTTCTGTGCTTGCATCATGTTGCTTTTACTCCTTTATTTCTGTAGCATAGCTTAAAATCGGAAATTGTAATCCTTCCAGCAGGGTCCTTTGTACTTGTTTTGGCTACCTGGGATCTTTTATGTTTTTATTTTATGATAGTTGTTTTTTCCTATTTCTGTGAAGCAGGAAATAAAGAGTTTGATTGGGATTCCATTGGATATGTAAATAGCTCTTGGTAGAACGGTCATTTCCACAATGTTAATTCTACCAGTCCTTGAGCACGGGGTGGCCTCCCATTTTCTAGTCTGTTTATTTCCTTCCTCCGAAGTCTACAGTTTCACCGTAGAGGTCCTTCACTTCCTTGGCTCAGTTTTATTTCTAGATATTTTCTTTGAGGCTATTGTGAACGGGAGTGTGCTCACGATCTCCTTTTTTTTTTTTTTTTTTTTTTTTTTTTTTTTTTTTGATTTTTCGAGACAGGGTTTCTCCGTAGCTTTTGGTTCCTGTCCTGGAACTAGCTCTTGTAGACCAGGCTGGCCTCGAGCTCACAGAGATCTGCCTGCCTCTGCCTCCCGAGTGCTGGGATTAAAGGCGTGCGCCACCACCACCCGCACAATCTCCTTCTTGTATGTTTATTGTTGGCATATAAAAAGCTATTGATTTCTACAAATTGGTCCTGTATTTTGCTATATTTCTGAATTTTCATATCATCTCTAAAAGTTTTGGGATAGAGCATTTGGAATCTCTCATTGCCATCTGCAAATAGGGATAGTTTGACTTCTTTCTCTATTTGTACCCCTTCAGTTTCCTTCTCTTGCCTTCTTGCTTTAACTAGTACTTTGACTAGTTGAAAAGGAGTGGGGATAGCAGGCATCCCTGTCTTGTTCCTGACTTCGGTTGGATTGTTTTGACCTTTCCCTCATTGAGGATAATGCTGGCTGTAGGTTTTTCATATTTTTAGGTATGTTTCTTCTAGCCTTATGTTCCCTAGGACTCTCATCACGAAGGCATGTTGAATTTTGTCAAAGGCTCTTTGTGTTATCTATTGATACAGCCATGTGATTTTTGTCTCTAGCTTCATTTGTGTGGGTTATTACATTTATTGACTTGATTATGTTGAACCATCGATGCAGTTCATCGATAGAACTTGTTCACAGTGTATACTCTTTTTGATATATGTCTGTATCCTCACTGCAAGTATTTTATTGGTTATTTTTGAATCTATCTTCATTAGGAATGTTGGCCTATAGTTTCCCTTGTGTGTGTCTACTTTATTTTGGTATTAGAGAGATACTGACTTTGTAGAAGGAGTCTGTATGTTCTTCTGTTTCAATTGTCTCAAATAGTTAACAAGAACTGGTTGTAGATTTTCTTTGAATGTCTTTATAATTCTGCTGTGAGTTCATATAGCCATGGACTTTTTTTTTTCTGGAAGGCTTTTTATTGCTGTTTCAAACTCCTCATTTGTTATGGATCTGTTTAGATTATTAATTCATTCTTGGTTTAATATTGATGGTTTGGCTGAATCTAGAAAAACGTTTGTTTCTTTTAGATTTTTTTCAGCTTAACAAAGTAAATTTTAAAAACACTCCCCTATAATATTATAAATTTCTTTGGTGTCTCTCTGTTCATTTCTGATTCTGTGACTAGAGTTCTCTTTTGGTAGTTGGACCAAGGGTATGTCAATCTTGTTTATCTTCTCCAAGAACCAGCGCTTAGATTTGTTGATTATTTATGTATTATTGTCTTTGTTTCTATTTTATTGATTTCTGCTCTCTGATTTTTATTATTACTGTAGACTAAATTTAGATTTGTTCTTTCCCCCTACTTTTCAAGTTGCATAATTAAGTCACTTATTAGTGTTTTTTCTAATATTTTAATGTAGGCACTTAAGAGATATAATGTTTTCCTCATTATATCTTTCAAGGTGTTCCAGAGGTTTCGCCGTGTTGTGTTTTCATTTAGTTCCAGGAAGTTCTTTTCTTCTTGACTTCTTCTTTCACCCATTCATTGTTTAGTAATAAGTTGGCAGATCTCCATAAGGTTGTGTATTTACTAGCACTTTTTTTGCTATCAATTTTAATTTTTATTGTATTGTGTTGAGACACAGGATACAGAAAGTGATTTCAATTGTTTTTAATATGTAAAGATTTGTTTTGAGCCCAGACAGGAATGGGGTAGATGTCTGAGTGGAAAAGTTACATATGACACTGGAGAGCTCTGTGGTTTGATGGATTCATAGCTAGGCCACTGGCCCAGGTCTGTAGCTCTTTTGTAAGGAAGGCAGGCAAGGCCCCTAGGCTAGTGGGTTGTGGGACCTATGCTAACCCTGGTGCCTTGTGAAAAAGGCATGGATAAGGAGGTCGGGGTACCCACCAGGCTAGAACATGGAAGAGGACATGAGATGTTTGGGCATAGAGTAAGGTGGTAGAGACAGTGCAAAGGGTCCTGCGTGGGTGGATGCAGGTAAGGCAGGTCCTAGTGGGAGCTCTCAGTTGGCTGCATGTTAGAGGGGGTGGGACTATGAAGAGCTGGGAGTGTCCGACCCCATAGAAGCCTAGAGTTTGATTGCTGTTCAGACTTGAAAAGGATGGCCAGACTAGGTTGCATCACTAGCTGTGGGACCCTAGCTAGGTATGGTGAATTCAGGAAAACTATGGGGTGGTGAGGGCAACTTACCAGGCTAGACCCTAGAGGAGAATGTGGATGTCTGTTTTTTTTTTTGTTTGTTTTTTAAATATTTATTTATTATGTATATAATATTCTGTCTGTGTGTATATCTGCAGGCCAGAAGAGGGCACCAGACCTCATTACAGATGGTTGTGAGCCACCATGTGGTTGCCGGGTATTGAACTCAGGACCTTTGGAAGATCAGGCAATGCTCTTAACCTCTGAGCCATCTCTCCAGCCCTTTTTTTTTTTTTTTTCTTAATGTGGCTTCTGTAGCTAGAACTCGGGGCCCTACGCTTGTGAGGGCCTTCACTGCTTAAGCTTTCTCCCAACCCCACAAGACATCTTTATTCTTTAAAATGAGTATTTTGCCAAGTGTGGTGGAGTACCCTTGACATCCCAGTCACTCAGACCGAGACAGGATCATCAGGGTAAGGCTGGCTTGGGCTTAAACAGTGAAATGGTCTCAAAGCACCAAGGGCTGCGGATACAGCTGAGTGATGCACCTACTTAGCATGCACAAAGCCTTAGGCTGAGCCTCAGTACCACCTGGCCCTGCTCCAATACACAAAGAGTGTCAGATACTAAGGAAAACCGTGTGTTTTAGTTTTTGGTGGACACACTAGAGTGGATGGATACACACTAGCACTCTGGAGGAGGATCTAAGATTACAGTGTAACAGCAATGTAAAATGTATTTGCTTTCTTTCTTCATGTTTCAATATTCAGTTAGTCAGTTGAGTATTGCATCAGCTTTGTCGTAGGAGAAGCACAGGACCAAAGGTCTAAGCCCCATCAAGTTCAAGCTGTATGTATGATGAGTACTCCCGTGGGCTGCTGATTGGTGAAAGGAAACAACTAGAAGTGGCTCATGCCTGTACAGGCTGAGGCAGGGGGATTGCTCTGAGTTCAAGGTTAGACCCCCATTGTGTGTGTGTGGGGGGGGAACCTTCCTACCTCAATTCCAAAAAAAAAAAAAAAAAAAAAACCCTAAGAAACGTCAAATTTTAGAAGCAGATCATACAATGGACTCTCAGATTTTAGGAAGCTAAATTTACTTCATGAAAGAGAAAATGGAATCTCAAACATACAGTAACTTCTAGCTTCTTTGAAAATGCATATCAGGGGATTGGAGAAATGGCTCAGTTGTTAGAGCTGACTCATCTTCAGAGGACCCAGGTTCAGTTCCCACCACCCACATAGTGGCTCACAACTGTCTGTAACTCCAGTTCAATGGTATCCAACAGCATCACATAGACATTCATACATTTAAAATAAAATAAAAATAATTATTTAAAAAAACTTTAAAAGTGCATATTTGTCACCAATATATAAACTTGAAGAAAATTCTCATTGAAAGGTATTTATATGCACATTGTGAAAATTCGGATACTGAATTCAAAAATATATATCTTGGTTTTAGTTAAGGTAAGGCTTTACCTCTTGATGTTCATCTTAGTAAAATGTGGTTTATGTAAATGTTTCAGGAAAGAATTGGCAAGGACAATCTTGACCGTGGGAGGTAAGAAGTGTTTAAAAATTTAAATGCCTAAACTATTGGACACTAGAGGATGTATGAGGATTAAATTCCATCTGAAGATAGGAAATTAAGGTTTTGTTTTTACTTCTGAGAGATTCTGGCCTGCTGGAAAATCATGATAACTAATGGACACCTAGCCAACCTGTCAACATTTTAACATCTCACTACATGGGCGTCAGTGAAAATTCTTTCAAGTAAAAGCCATCAGAGTCACCGAGAAAGCCCTCCATGCCATGTCCCCTCTTCCTTTGACTCAAGAGTTATTTCCATTCTCAAACATAATTTTTATCTGTATAAGAGTTACACGATTGTTTTATAGATTTAAAGACAGTGTGTGACTCTCAGCACATCAGTCCATCTGATTACATCCCTCTTTTCACCTTTACATGAATCGAGGATGGGGATATGGATGCAGCTTAGCTGCTAGAGTGCTTGCCTACATGCACAAAGCTCTGGGTTTGAGCCCTAACTCCCCATAAGCCAGTGTGGTGGCATGTCTGTACTCAGTGTCTGGGAGGTGTGGGGGCTGGGAGAATCAGGAGTTCATGGTTATCCTTGACTGCATTATTAGGGATTGAGCTCAGCACCTTGTACATACTATACAAGCAACCATTCTACCACTGAACAATATTCCCAGCACTTAAAAATAGTATTTTAAAGATGTTCTCCATATGAAACCTATTCATATTTTCCCCTAGCCATCCTTGAGTATACTTTGGATGGTCATAATGACTCTGAATGCATTAGACCAAGTGACTTATTTTCTGTCTACTGTGTTTTGACTCTCTAGATTATAACCAGCAGGTTGCTCTATCCGAGGCATTGTGTAGAATGACCGCCAGAACACTGAGGAATGAGCTTGCTCTTCAGTGGTTTGACGATGCAGTCCTGGCTGAAGCTTTCAAAGAAATTAGGAACCGGGATTTTGAGACGGTGAGAATTCTGGTCCTAAGAGTCTCTGTCTGTAGTGAGGATCCTCTCAGCACTTTCCTGAGTTTTATGCTTAGGGGAAAATTTAATTTTCTTAAGGATGAAAAGAAATTCATTGTGTACATTTATGTGTGAAGGAATGTGTGTGAGGGCAAGAGCTGTTGGAAGCCAGAAGATGGTGCTGGACCACCTGCCTCTGGAGTTACAGGCAGTTGTGAGCCACCTGCCAGAGGCACTGGGGACCACAATAGGATGATCTGCAAAAGCAACACATGTTCTTAATCACTGAGTCACCTTCCCAGTCCCTCACTGTTTGAAGTATGATCAGATTGCAATCCTTAACTTTCGGTTCCCCCATATCAGAGAAACAATTTGAAGGTGGCATAAAAAATATTCAGGGACCACATGGGAAGATGAGCTTCCTTAGAAGAAACAGATCAAGAAGACAAACTGTATTTGATGGGTCCAGGCAAGGAAAACAATGAGAGCAGGTGGAGATCTTGAATGGCCCTTGAATGTAGGGATACAAGTGGAGAAGAAAGAGCAAAGAATTGGAGCCTTGAATAGAGAAGCTCTGACCGCAGCAGGTGGCTGGCACTGGCATTTGTGGTAAGGATCATAAAGTGGTTATGCTGGGTGCCATCCAGCCGCTGCAGTTTTGTCTTGTGAAGTCTTAGCTTACTGTGATCGTTCCTAAAGGAGCACAAAATAGCTTTCAACTTTGTTGTGTATCTGGCTTCTCCTACAATTGCTAATATATTTCCTTTCTTTCTTTTTTTTTTTTTTGTTTTTTCGAGACAGGGTTTCTCCTTAGCTTCGGAGCCTGTCATCCTGGTACTAGCTCCTATAGACCAGCCTGGCCTCAAACTCACAGAGATCCGCCTGCCTCTGCCTCCCGAGTGCTGGGATTAAAGGCGTGTGCCACCACCGCCTGGTGCTAATATATTTCCTTTATTCTTTTCAAAATATCTTTAAATTAGGGTTAGAGTCTCAGCAAAAAGTAAAATTCATCTCAAGTGTTCATTTTAATGAAGCCTTCTAATTAAAAGCCCTGTGTAATCAGGATTATTCCATGATTCGCATTGTACTAAATTTGAACCTTTGTATTGTGTATCTTAGAGTCTAAGACTGGCAATATGCACAGAAGGTATTTAGCCAGATGTGGTATGTTCTAAATGGGAAGGTTATGATTCCAACCTCTTTTGGCCAACTTGAGTTTGAATTCTACCTCAAATTAGAGTTCCACCTTCCTGACTTAGGTGATATTTGCATAGATATAGACAAGGTCATGGACTAGCGACATCTTAGATTTTCACTTGTGAAGTGGGAATAAATTCCACTTTAAAATGAGGAGTTTCTTAGCATTATTATTGCTGTGATGAATCACTGTGGCCAAAAGTAAAGCAACTTGGACAAGAAAGAAAGGGGTTATTTGTCTTACATGTCCTGAATCACAGCCCATTGAGGGGAGCCAAGGCGAGAACTCAAACTAAGCAGGAATCTGGAGGTAGAAGCTGATGCAGAGGCCATGGAAGGCTTCTGCTTACTGGCTTGTTCCTTAAGGCTTGCTCAGTTAACCTTTTTATAGCACCTAGTACCACTAGCCCAGGGGGTGGTACCACCAAAAAGTGGCCTGGGTCCTTCCACATCAATCACTTAATAAGAAAATGCCCTGCAGATTTGCCTCTAAAATATTCGGGAGACATGTGGGAAGATAAATATAGGATTTTTTTTTAGAGGAAACTGAGCCAGGAGACAAACTGGAAAATTTGATGGGTCTTATGGAAGCAATTTCTCAACAGAGGAGTCCCTTGTCTAAGATGTCTTCAGCTTGTATCAACTTCATATAAAACTAGCCAGAGCAAGCAGAATTCACCGAGAGGAATCGAGAGTGCCAGGGATGATGTGGCCAAGCAGATGCTCCCTTATCTGCCTCTGCAAATGGTGAAAATAGAGTAATTCTCTTGTTTTCAAAACCATCTCTCCAACTACCTCGCAGCCCATCAGCTTCTCTTTTGAACTGATTTTTAGAAGAAAGCCTAATGCTGCTCATGTCTATTTAGGGCTAAAGATAGCTCTGAAGTGTGAGAAACAGTCCACTACTACAGCCAGTGTCTGGAAACAAAAATGAAGATCAATCTGGACCCGTGTCTCGTCGCCCTTAGAATGTCAGGGCAATGTATTCAGTGCCTTGGTGACTGTTGCTTAGGAGAATCCTAGAGGTAGTTCTTAGAGTGTATGGCACAGATGACCTACACAGGAGAAGCACGGGAACTATGCACACATGAATTCACCCAAAGTTAATATGGCTTATGCTAGGCAGGTATTAGGAAAGCGTGTGCTAGATCAGCTCGTCAAATCCTGGACTCAATTCAAGAGGGAGATCTATTTTTCTTGCTCATTTTCTTTTGCCCAAATGAGTCTATCATGTCCTTGACTTTGGAGACCTGGGTATTCTTCATCTGAGCAGGCAATGCTGGGGGTGCAAGGAAGGGCACTTACAGCTGTCTCCTTGAGCACAAAGCATTGCTAACGTAAATGAATCTTTGTGAAGATTTAGGGTTGCTTAGGAAAGTAGTCAAGATAGTGCGCTTTTGAATTAAAGGCTTGTATTGCTTATTTTAGGACTGTCGCCAGTTTCTCAATTTCCTGAACAACCGACTCGGAGATGAGAGAAGGTAACGTGTATCTTATTGGCTAGCTGCAATCCAATACTGATTTTTGTAAAAAAAAAAAAAGTCTGGGATCTTTTTAATTTTAAGAGCATATAGGACCAACATTTTACTGATAGAACTAAGTGCTTTAATTGATTAGAAATTTAGGAAGAGCCTGGTGTAGTGGTTCACATTATAATCCTAGCACACAGAAGACTGAAGTGAGTGGGGTTTTCTCGTTAACTTTTTTCTCCAATTTGTTTACTTTATGTGCATGAGCATTTTACTTCTGTGTATGTATAGGAGATGTGTGCCTGGAGGGCATCAAATCTCCTGGAATTGGAGTTATAGACAGTTGTGAGCCACAGTGCGGGTGTTGGGAACTGAGCCCAGGTCCTCTGTAAGAGCAGCAAGTGCTCTCAGCCATTGAGCCATCTCTCCAATCCTAAGAGTTCCTGGATTTTTTTGAAGAATAATTTTGGAAAGACTAAAGGTGCTTGAGGATAGGCATATCACAGACAGGTAAGTCTTTGAGACAATATTTTCTAAGTTTACTTTGTTCTTTAGAATTTGGACCAAGTAAATTTTTCTGAAATGAATGCTAATAACCCTGACTTGTTTTTGTTTTTGTTTTTCGAGACAGGGTTTCTCAGTGTAGCTTTGGAGCCTGTCCTGGAACTAGCTCTTGTAGACCAGGCTGGCCTTGAACTCACAGAGATCGCAGGTCTCTGCCTCCCTTATCTGCTCTTAAGTGCTGGGATTAAAGGCGTGTACCACCACCACCCAGCTCATAACCCTGATTTATAAACTGCCTGCTGGAGAGATGAAATCTCCTCAGAGTGGATCTCTGCTTGCAGAGTTACAGCCCTCTGGTGTCCTGTGTAGACAATATTTCATAGTTGCAAAAACTTATAAGACATCTGCAGTTCATTTTGAGTTTTAATTGTGAGATGTTTTGCAGGGTCTACTCATTCCCATGCTTGGCGGCTTTTGCTGATGAGCAGGAGGTAGGCCTGTCTGTCTGCCTGTCTGTCTGTCTGCCTGTCTACCTCTTCTCTTTCTCTAAAGAGTCTTAAGGGCAGTGTGAATGAAACACTATTAGGTTTTCATGGTTAGGTCAGACCCATTGCTAGTACTTTAAAGGGCCATTTACATTGTCTAGAAAGCATCTGGCGGGGGGATTAGAGGCATTGCTAGTGGAGCCTCTGGACAGATGCCTATGGGGAGTCGGGAACATCTACTCTTTCTAGAACACCACATTGCTTGAAATCCTCGATTTTTATTCTATGCATTTATTTTGTGATAATAAAAATAAAAGTAATTTGAGCTCGAGTGTTAGCTGATCTCTAACTGATGGTCAGCTGGGCACCAAATTGTCAGTCATTGCTCACAGTATCTTTTTTTGCTAGAACTTTCCATCTCTTTTCAGGGTGGTTTACTACTGTTTTAGCACAAAACAGATCCCCCTGCTACCTCCATGAATTCACCAAGAAAAAAAATAGTGTGGATAGAGCCGTGTGACACATTTAAGTATCTATGAAATATTGAGGACAATAGAGCTTCCCAGGAATGGAGTGTGAGACAGATCCGCTTTCTGATTCGCAGAGGCTTCTTATAATAGGAACTGCATGTTCCTAATTTAAATTGCACCCTTTGACATGAGATTCCTGTGTAACTTCTGAAATTCTCCCACAGTTGAGAAAACCAGCAGATGAAAAACTAGAGGAATTTTGGATTGATTTCAATCTAGGAAGCCGGAGTGTGACTTTTTATATAGATAATGAAGAGGTAAGGGACTCATTCATTCCCCAGGAGCCCTAAGTGGTGAGGAATTCTTCGTATAAATACTATGATGCAGTCATGATTTTTACTCTTTTTCTCAAGAGTGTTTTGTGGGAGCCAGTGCACCTTCCGAAGGAAGCAGTGCTCGGGTTCAGCGTAACAGGTAAGATGATGCTGTAAACGTCTTCCCTCGGAGCTTCCAGCGCCGCTTCTGCTGATGTTACAGCATTCAGTTAACCCTAGAGCAGATTTTGATCCCATTCTTATTTGGCATCTTCTTTCCTAATTCTTTATTTTTAAAAGATTTCTTATTTTATTTATATGGTTGTGTCTGTCTGTGTCCAGGAACACGTGCATGTGTACGGGTGCCCAGAGACCAGAAGAGGGTATCAGATCTTCTGGAGATGGAGTTAGAGGTTAGAAGTATTTGTGAGCCACCTGATGTGGGTGCCGGGGAACTGAACTAGGGTCCTTTGGAAGAATAGAGTGAGCTTTTCATCCCTGAGCCATCTTTCCAGGCTCAGAAAAGAGGCTTCCCTGAGTGGGAACTGAACCCATCCCGAGGAGACCAGAATGCCAAATCCTATGCACCAGACCATCAGGGAGAGTTTAAAATTTTCTACTAACCTTATTAAATCAGATAGTGGATTAGTCTCAATTTACAATTTAACTGACTCTTTGAAAGATATTAACACATAATTAATATAAAATGGTGTGTTATTGTATTTCACTTTTTTCTATTGAATGTCCTTATCTGTGTTAAATATTTATTTATTTATTTATTTATTAAAGATTTCTGTCTCTTCCCCACCCTGTGTTAAATCTTTACAGTCTGCTGTAGGTGCTTCACTAGCAGGTCATGGTGGTTTGTATGAGCCATTGGTTTCAAGTGGGCTGCCATCTTGATAGCCAGGTGGAGGCTGGTCAATCTCTCCTTTCTTTTGACTGTGGTAGGCAGGAGGCTCTTGGGTTTGCCTACTCTTTCATGAGCTTCCTGCTCTTTCATGATCTTTTATGACTTTTCTGTTCTCTAATTCTACCTAGTTTGTACTTGTCGTGTTTATTTTTTCCTGGAGACTGAATTTTAGGTTTAAGTTATTTTTCAGTCTTGAAATTGATTGCTTATTTTCCAGTAGGATCGAGGAAGGGGCTGGCCTGAGACCCGGACATACGGGCGGGTGCTTCCGTTTCTTCTCTTTAAGAGGTGTCTACTGAAATGGATATTGGCATATTGAAAACTGAATTTTAAGATTATGTGGAATTTCAGAGAGAGAGAATTTTGCTTAATATTTTTTAAACTAAAATACCTGTTGTATAACAAAAATTCTCTCATAAGAACATTGAATAGTGTCATTCAAAATGACATTTCTTTACCAATTAGACAAGATCAAATAATCACTCTTAAGTCACATGTTTTGTGTATATGTAGATAAAAATTTTGAAGTCATTTCTATTTAATATGACTTCATCTTCTCATTGCAGACAATTCTGGACAGTTGACAACAGCTTGCATCATACTGATGCACCTGATATAACGCATCTTTTGTTTTTGTTAGAAAATAATAGGATGAAGATGTTCACCATTTACCTGAAGGAGCCGATTATTATCAACAAGAAAGAAGCAAAGACGATAGAAATCCACTTCGACAGGCAACTTGACATATCACGAGCTTCACTTCGAGCTTTGAGAGGGGACAAACAGGTGGCAGCTCTTTCTCTCTCTCTCTCTCTCTCTCTCTCTCTCTCTCTCTCTCCCTCCCTCCCTCCCTCCCTCCCTCTATCATTCACTGTGTTTGATTTTTTGAAAGAGTTTCTCTATGTTGCCCTAGCTACCCTGGAACTCACCTTGTAGATCAGGCTGGCCTTGAACTCATGGAGATCTGCTTGCCTCTCTCCCTCCCAAGTGCTGGGGTTAAAGGCCTGTGCTGCCATGCCCAGCCTCGTCCCCTTTGATTATTTGAAAATGTGTTCTCACATCTCTTGAGTCTCCATGTTGGGCTTAGATGTAGCCTTTGGTCAAGAAGAAGACTTGAGAGTTTTAGGTTCTAATCCCAACTCTTCTTCTTGTGGCCCTGTCTTAAATATGTAGGACACAGAGTTCTTCCTGCCTCCAAATGCATGGTTGCATCTCCCGTGGATAGTGTTGCGGCTTGTTTGGGGTGTTCTCATGTCCTCACCACATTCCTGAGGAGACCTGCCAGGCTGTTTGACCCTTCCTCCTGGCCCTGGAGGAATTCAACAGGGGTTTCCCCCACTCTGTACTGGTCTTTTCTGATAGAAATGCCTGCACCTGCCCTGGGATTCTATGGTCTCCATCTTGACCCCACTTCTTCCTAAGCACACGTAAGGGTGTTTTTCCACCTCGGAAGTGGGCAAGGTGAAGAAACTTGTGACCAAAGGACAGACAGTAACAGACAGAAAGGGACTGAATGGGAAGGCCCAGAGGACAGGCAAACAAAATGAGGAAGGGAATCTTGGATGGCTTCCTTTTGCTTTGAGTTATATATTAGAACATCTTATTATAGCAGTAAAATGCTCCGCAGATATAGTTTCCAGAGCTCTTCAGAAGGGCGATGAGGTGAAAGGCAATTACCCACTTGGGAAAAAGCCTTTTCTATGTTGTTACACCACAAATTAGCCTGGTGTTCTAAGTTTGCCTTTGCTAGCGAGGACCATCAAAACCACACTCATTTCCCCATTTCTCAGTGTGAATAAGATGGTTTTGCTGAAGAGAACCAGAGTCTGCATGGGACAGAGTCACAGTTCCTGGAGTCCCGGTGAGGAAATGGAGGCTGGGAGGACCATGCGGGTCCTCACTGCAGACTCTCACTGGGAGAGAGCCATATCTCTGAGGAAGCATGGATTAAGTCACCCCAGAGCTTAGGACAACTTGAGCCAGAAGAACAGAGGAAGGTCTTACAGCCCAGGAGGCAGCGGGCTTGAAGCTCTGCCTATGTGCCCAGCCCTGGCTCCTGAAGGCCATGCTCTCAGAACTGCACCGGGGAAGAGGGATTCTAGCATCCAATATTTGAAGAGTGCCTTCAATGGTAGATGACTGGTGTGTTAAGACCACAAGAGTGACAAGAATGGAGTGACAGAGAGCCAGAGCTGGTCCTAGAAGGCGGTGGTTGAAGGATGGGTGGGTGTGGGAGACAGTAAGCCAGAAAGAGCAATGTACAAAAGAAGATGTCAGATACTCGGCTCCTTGATTTATCAACAGGCTGGGGACTAAGCTTTAAACCTCCCCCCCCCCCCCAAGATAACTGCTTTGAAATGTTATGTGGCCTTGGCTTTCATTTCAGATTCCTGTTTTGGTAAAAGTCTCCCCTGGCCTTGAAAAAGATGATGATAAGATTCCTAGTAGCCCCAAACAAGAAGCAGGTATGCCAAGAGAATTCTGACTCTTTCCCTGAGGAAGCGTGAGGCTGCCTTGGAAGAGGGCCTCACACCCTGAGGTCACGTGGCAGCATCCCATGAAGAGCCGAGCACAGCCTAGAAGCTCCTACTCCATCTGCCAATGTCCTCTTTGGGCACACAGCTGGAAATGACCAAAAAGAAAGGATGCTAGGGGTGGCGGGAGGTGGGACTCTGCAGGGCCCTGCCTACTGGCACAAAGCCTCTTCTCTTGAATTTCCACGTCAAGGGCTTTAGCTTTGGATTTGAGATTTGAGGCACAATGTCATTACCAGCTCTTACCACAAGGTGGCAATATACCAGAGCCGCGCTTGCCTGGCGAGTAAGGGCAGAGTGCCAGCTTGGCCCATGGAAGGTTATCGTTTAAATGTTCTTTTTCTTATTGAATACAGAGCACGCAGAAGAATCAACAGCCCTGCCAGGGTTCGTGAATGATGAAGATGACCGTTGCATCATAACTCGCAGCTTGAATGTTCAATCAGAGCTTGCTGTGAGTAAAGGGAGCTGGGAAAAGGTGGGGAAGTTGTGGCCCGCAGGATAGAGAAGCACTTCCTTTCTTGAATGAGAGCCCGTTTTCTCTTCAGTAGCTGTCTGCCATTCATTTGTCTGCCTCCCTTTTCATATTGCTTTCATCCCTCGCGCTGAACATGGCTGTCTCATGAAACGCCTGCCTGGACGGGTCTCTGCCTTGTCCCCTCATTTGGGATCTGGAGGAAAATGTCCGCATATTAATGGAGGGAGGAGCCTCGTGCTGAGGGTCAGATGTGGTTTCCCTCTCTAGCTGGGGGCACATGGACATGTTGATTCATGCTGGTCTTCCTGGGGGGGGGCGGTATCCATCAATCAAGGTATTCTAGTTAAGGTTTCTATTGCTGTGATGAAACACCACGGCCAAAGCAACTCGAGGAAAGGTGTTATTTGGTTTACACATCCCTAGCACTGTTTATCACTGAAGGAAGTCAGGGCAGGAACCTGGAAGTAGGAGCTGATGCAGAGGCCATGGAGGAGTGCTGCTTACTGGCTTGCTCCTCATATCTTGCTCAGCCTGCTTTCTTATAGAACTCAGGACCCCCAGCCCAGGGATGGCACGGCCCACAATGGGCTGGGCCCTCCACCATCAATCACTAATTAAGAAAATGCCCTGCAGGCTTGCCTGTCGCCTGATCTCATGGAAGCATTACCTCAGCTGAGGGTCCCTCCCTCTCAGATGACTCTAGATTCTGCCAAGTTGACATAAAACTAGCCAGCGCAGAAGGTGACATCTAGCTCCGGCCTTCTTAGGATTTAAAAATGGGCACTAAGTTATAGATTGGCTAGGGCAAGATGGGTTGGCGTGTTGTTGCACAATTGGCCGATTGGGTCATAATGAGGCTGGAAGAAAGGATTTGGGGTGTTTTCTCTCTAGGGAAATAATGAATGTCTGAGGGCATAGACGCATTTAGCTTGACTTGTCAAACTTTTCAGAATGAAGACAAGGAGCAAATTCTTACCTGGTACATCATATGTGTCCAGGTTCATGTGCAAATTTAAAAATTAAACAGTATTACAGAAGACCCTCGTGGCTTATTTAAGCATTTATTCCTTGTTTCCTTATGTGAACACATAGTACAGAGGTGTGACTGAGAATGATGCCAGGATTTTCATGTTTAACCACCAGAGATTAGATTAGTCTTTCAAATTGTCGGGTTTTTTTTGGGGGGGGGTTCCAGACGGGGTTTCTCTCTAGCTCTGGAGCCTGTCCTAGAACTTGCTGTGTAGACCAGGCTGGCCTTGAACTCAGCCTGCCTCTGCCTCCCAAGTGCTCGGATTAAAGGCATGTGCCACCACCGCCTGGCAAATTGTTACCTCTTAAAGTCACCATTTAGGTGTCTTGGGAAGGTGAATCCCTTGCCTCTAGTGTGAAGTTCCTGGAGACACCCTGTAGTCCTTCCTCCAGACTGTGGCATACCGTGGTCATCTTTGAGAGTGGCAAGTCCTTGCTTGTCATTTGGAAGTGAACGTTTAGGAACAACAGAGGCACTGGGAGCCAAGTTGTGCTCAGCTGTTCTTCAGAGGTGGAGTGGGTCCCAAAGGCTGAAGACTGAGCCTCCCTGATACCACAGTAACTTCTTTTTTTCTTGCCGCAGACACATTCAGAAGACCGTTCCCCTGAAACACTAAAACCACAGGACCCCAAACCAGGTACAGAGAGTCTTCTCCACCATCACTGAGTGATTTCTCTAAAGGTTTGCCCAAGATGCCTAAAGTCATTTTATTTTTTAACTTTTGGCCCTTAGAAATTACTTCAAAACATGAGCATTCTTCACACGTGCAGGAATCACCAGTTCAGACTCGGGCTTCTCAATCAGATGATGCGAAGTAAGTGGCTGCCATTTTTTTTACATATTTATTTTGTTCTTGAATTGCCATAGTAACCGTCCACATTGATGCTTCCGAGCCTGTGTGTATCTGTAGTAAGTGCATGCGTATGGAGACATTGTGATGCATCCATCCATGTGTCAGCTCATGTTCATGGGATGAAGGGTGGGTTTCTTCCATACATGTACCAACTGTGTAATGATGAACGGGTAGTTCTTGACATATTCATCTTAAGCATTCATCAACTCTGTGGAGTGAGAGCGGTCTGCAGCCTCTTGTTATTTCGAAATGGAAAGAGTATTACTGACTGTAGCTACCCTTATGTGATGCCAACACCAGGACCATTCCTCAGGTCTAGGTGTAATTATGGACCAATTGCACGCCACGGCACCCTCTCACCTAGATCCGGGTGACCACCATTTTATGCCCCCCTGTATAGGTTGGACTATGCGGATCCCACATGACAATGATGTCATGCAGATCTTGTTCTTGTCTTTGTTCATCTGGTTTATTTCATTTAGCCGAATAATGTCCTCCAGTGTTAACCCCTGTTGAGAATTTCAGGATTTTATTTTTGGTGACTGATACATGTTCCAGCATATATATGTGCCATATCTCCTTATCTGTTCATCTCTTGGTGAACATTTAGGCTGGTTCTCCACCTTGGCTCTTGTAGAACTACAGACCACACAGATGTTGCTCATATGAGTACCACATGCTAGCAGTTTAGTTTTCCATTTCCCCTAACCAATGCCATCTAAGCTTCACGTGAAGTTTTTTGTAGAACGGTCTGGACTGTGTCTGGACTGTGTCGGCAAACTCCCTTGTCCTTCAGGACCCTGCAAGCGGACCTTCTTCAGCAATGTGCTTTCTGCTGAATTTTAGATTAAACTCAAGATCAGTGTACAAAACTCAGGCTTCTGATTGAAACACAAAGCAGAACTTTATGTAACAGCATATGATATACTTAAGTATTAATTTGCAGGGTACTATTAGGTCACAGCCATTAAAGGATTACTCAGAGCACAATGAGAGATCTAAGTGGGTGGAGAGATACTGTGCTTAACAGAAGGACCCTTTATTTGAGAGATGTCAATTCTTTTCAAATTGGGTCTACATAGTTAATATAACCTCCAGTTTTAATATCAAATTAGTGATCCATTTCTCTATTCCTTGTGGAAACTTAAAAATCTTGGGGCAATGAAAACGGTTTTCACAAAGGAGCAAAGTGACAGGGCTTCCACACTATCTGCTCTCCAGATTTACTAGAAGCTTCCTTAGCCAATGGATAGAGGATGGTGTTGCCATAAAGATCTGGAAATAAAATAGCAGAGGGCCAAGGAAGGGTTTGCAAGTATATGAATTGTTGGCATATGATGAAAATGCAGAGGTTATTCAGTGGAGAAAGACAGAATTGTCTATAAAAAATGTGAAAACAACAATATATTTATGCAAGAAAATAAATGACCTCCAAATCTTCACTGTGTAAAATTTAACTAAACATGAGTCATAACCTTATATATAAAACTTACTTGGTCTGGGCAGTGGTGGTGCATGCTGTTAGTCCCAGCACTTGAGATATGCAGAACAAAGCAGATTTCTGTAGGTCTGAGGCCAGCCTCGCCTATGGGGCAAGTTCCAGGACAGACACCAAAAGCTACACAGAGAATCCCTGTTCCAAAAAAACAAAAATCAAACCAACCAACCAACAAACAAAAACTTTAAACAACAACAAAACAAAACAAACAAAAACTTACTTGGAACAAATATGTGACTTTATCATGGGACCGTTTTGAAGATACCAAACCAAAAACAGCCTATAAAAAATGAACCTGTTGTAGAATATGATTTTAAGGTGTGTTACTTTTGTTTATGCTGTGGGACATTTGTTTAACGATGTAAAGATGTGTTATTTTTGTTTATGTGGCATTTGTTTAACTCTGTGAAGCTGTGATTCTTTGCCTGTCTAAAACACCTGATGGTCTAATAAAGAACAGAACGGCCAATAATGAGGCAGGAGCAAGGATAGGTGGGGTTGGCAGGCAGAGAGGATAAACAGAAGAATGCTGGAAGAAGAGAAGGAACAATATAGAAAAAGGAGGAGGATGCCAGGGGCCAGCCACCCAGCCAGTCGCGGAGTAAGAGTAAAGACAGACAGCGGCGGGGAAAGGAAACAGCCCAGAGGCAAAAGGTAGTCAGGATAATTTAAGAAAAGCTGGCTAGCAACAAGCCAAGCTAAGGCCAGGCATTTATAAGAGAAAGTCTCCAATTTATTTGGGAGCTGGGTGGTAGGCCCCCGAAGACAAAAAAAAAAAAAAAAAGGGAGGAAAGAGTAAAAATCAAACAACAACATGAACTGATAAACCAGACTTCATCAAGATAAAGCAAGCCCATAACATTGTTAGAAAAGATCAGCCATAGCCTTGTTGAAAATATGTGTAAACATTTGCATCTGGCCTTGTAGTTAAAATTTTCAGGGGAAAAGACGCAAACCAATGAAAGCACAGGCAAAAGATTTAAACAAGTTCTGTCCCGAAGGAAAACACAGAGGTGGCAGGTGACTGTGAGAACTACTCACTGTTGCTGGTTACGAGGGGAACGTGCGTCAGAGGACGGCCCGTGGTCAGGATGGCTAATCTTAGACCTGCTGTCTGTACTTCATGACAGTGTGCAGAGAGGGCAGGACTCTCGAGCCTGCTGGGAGTTTTAACGTATTGAGCATATACCTAGGCTCTGGCCCATTTGTCCAGTCTTGTGTATTTGCCAAGATGTCTGTCAGCATACGTCCACAAAGGCAAGGTGTCATGGCAGCTTTGTTTAGGACAACCATCAACTAGAAACCATTCAGATGCTCCTCAGTGGGTGACTAGATGAACATGTTTTGGCAAAGATAAATATCCCCCATTCATATACCTGGGAGAAGAAATTTGGGGGGCTTAGACTTTGGAATGTGTGTGTATCTTGGGAGTGAGACTAAAATTTGTCCTTTCCATGCCTGATGCCATGGGATGATGTTGATTTTTGTACGGTGTTTGAGTGCACCTGCACGTCACTGACCCATCGCACTAGGGCAAGTGTGGAGTTTTCCGCGGGTGTCACCTTATTTGAACTCAGGATGTTTTGGACGTTGGCATTTGGAGTTTTCTGATTTGGAACAGTCAACTTGCATATCAATGTCAGATTTCGCAATTCCTTTGGATAGAAACCTAAAAGCGAGACTGGAAGCTCATGGAGTAGTTCTGTCTTTATTTCTGTTGCATCGTATTATTTCCGTAGACGCTGCCACCAACAGTCCACACAAGTCCCAGTCACCCCTCAACAGCTTATGTTAGTAGCCTGGATATCTGACAAGAGGTTACTTACTGTTATGTATAAACAAGAAACTTATGGAATTTAATAATAATAATAATAATAATAATAATAATAATAATAANGTAGCTTCCAAGTGCCATAATAATAATAATAATAATAATAATCAAAACCTCATTGAAAAACAGGCAACATCTCTCCACAGAAGACACATGAGTGGCCAACTGATACTCAGCATCGCCCAAACTCCAGAGCCAGCTTTTGTTTAAAGCACCCAGGCAGATCTGGGGTGGAGCCAGCCTTGGGAGATCCCAGTGCTGGCAGGCCACTTGCCAATCCAGCCCTGCCCCTTCCTCTCTTTATGTCTGAGAGATGAAGGACTCCACAAAGGTTCCTTTTCTGTGGAATAGCAGTATCCCCTTCCAGAGAGTCTCTGGAAACAGGCTGTGAGATACTTTCGTCTGCAGAACTGAGGACGTCCCACAGAGGGCATCCATGATCAAGAAGCTGAACCTTTGCAGGGAGGAGGGCGAAGCGGGTGGTGTCTGAACTGTTAACTTAATATGCTTTATTTTAGGGATGATTCTGCCTTCAGGAGGGACAGAGAACAAGACGGGAGGATGCCGGTAATGTGGGAATTTCTATTGTTTTAAGGCAGCCCTTCTCAGATGTCTGTCATTTGAATGCCATCTTCAACTTACTGCAACTCCTTGTTTACAGTTTTCTCAGATTCACCATACAAGAGATGACTGCAATTTCAAACGTAAAATCAAAGTTATTTCTAATTGCGGGTAGACTCCCAGACAATAACAATAGGATATAGCAATACAAATCTATTGGTAGACACATTTACTTAGTTTTCTGTTGTTCATCATGTGCTATTTGCTCTATGAGCTATTAACTGTGAAAAGGCCAATCTGCAACAGCCTCATTTAGTTAGATGAACGAGATCAATCAGCAAAATTAGAAGAGGGGCAAATTTTATGTTCAGTCCTTTATGCTGGTAACTAGAACATGGAAGATTTAGGACCAAATCCCTTCAGTCTGTGTTTTGTACAATAGTGGGTGTCCACAAACCTTCACAAGGGAGGCCCCTTGCACCTTGGTAGATGAGAGATGATAAGGTCTTTCTCTGGCTGTGGCCCAAACAGGCATGTTGAGCAGAAATGAGCATTTCTCTGGTGACTTACATGGAAAGTCAAAGTGATCTATCAAAAGGGCAGCTGTAGGGTTCTGCTTCAACCCCCTGACCCTGTTAAGTTAAATTTGACCTGAAGCCTAACGTGTTCTTGCTTTAAAAAAGAAAAAGAAAAGGCAATAAGTGGACATGCTATACACCCGAGACTTACCTTTGGTGGATTTTGATCTGTTAAAGAACGGAAATGGAGCAGGTGTGGTGGCTCACACCTGTGATCCTAGCTTATGGGAGGCTGAGGCAGGAGGATTTCTACAAGTTCAAGGCCAGCTTGGACTACAGAGTGAGGTGACAAGACTCTAGTCTTCTTGGAGTGTTATCACAAGCACTGAGCATCTCCTCATTCTCGTCACACAACTCCATTCCTGGTCTGTGTCCCAACAGTTCATGGTTTCAGAAACTTTGGTCTGTCACGGCTTGGCTTTGTTGACTTGGGCCTGTAGTGGCATGGTAAGTCCTGGCAAGAGCGCACATGGGAGGAGGTCTTCTCACCTCCTAGTAACTCGGAAGCAAGATGGGGAAATGGGAAGGGTGCAATGCCCCCCCCAACAGGCACCTGCACTGATTCACTCCTTAGCCAGACCCTACTTCTCATAGGCTGCACCCTTCTTGACAGTGCCCAGCAAGGGGAGCAAACTTTCAGCACAGAAGCCCTTGGGGAAATGTTTGGGATTCAAACTATAGCAATTGCCAACCCCCAATACTTTCTTGTGTGTAATCAAACTTAAGAACCATTTTTTTTTTGTAAACATTTCCCATGTTTTTTGGCAAATAATTTCCAGTACCCATTGTTGTAAAATCCAAGCTAGGTCAACTGAGTGACTTTTTAAATTGGATGCTTTAAATGAAAGGTTGCTCGTTTTTTTGTAAGCCACTGGGTTGAAGAGTTCTTGATGAATGCTGGGAGGGTGTGTGAGTGTGTGTGTGTGTGTGTGTGTGTGTGTATGTATGTGTGTGCGCATGCGTGCATGTGTCTGTAGGGGATTGTCTTTCAATTTTTTTTTCCTTAAATGAAGAGTAAGATGTAAATAAGACTGCCTGCCTGTTCCTTTTAGGACCTACCTTCTCTGTAATCAGTGTGTCTGTAATAAGATCACGGGTAAGAGGAGCTATAGTCAATGTGCACAGTTGAGACTGGTCAGTGTTTCAAAAGTGGACAATCGGGCCGTGGTTAAGAATGTGGTTAAAAGAGAGGACAGTCTAAATAAGCCAGGCACAAAAAGAATTCTACTACTTGTGAATCTAAAATAGCTGAATACACAGAAGCAGAGGGGAAAATGGCGGCTACTAGGGGTTGGGAAGGGTGGACAGAAAATTTCAATTAGGCAGGAGGTTCAAAAGATGCATGGGATATGCAATGACTGTAGGCAATAGTGTTACACATGGAAATTACTATGGAAGTAGTGTTAAGGTGTTTTTCTCTATTAAAATATGCAGGGGAAGTTACACGTGTACTCATTAGATTGATTTAACTGTTTCATAATGTACGGGTACACAAGAACGTTTATATACAATAAGTATATACAACATTTGTCAATAAAAAGAAGTGAGAAATGGCCTTCATTGCAAAATGCTAACCTGATGAACATTTTGAAGGATGAATTTGTTTTGTGAAACACGAATTCAAGCTCACCATCACCCACCTTCCATGGTATGGTCATGGTAGTACAGCCAGGGCTGAGACTGGTCCAGTCCTAAACTAGTGATAGCTGGAGCTAACTCGTGTTTCAGATGGATCTGTGTCTAGCAGCTTGTCGAATTTCTTGTTCACCCCCTTAGAACTCTGGTAGCTGCTCATACATTTCTAACCGCCGGCAGTCTAGGCTTTACTTCAGTATGTTTCACAGTGGTATTCTTGTTTGCTTTCAGTTCTTGTAAAACAAAACAAAACAAAAGTTTATTTAGCAAAGACATCCCCCTGCCTCCTTTTGCCTCATTGTGGGTAAAACTCAGGGCTATACCCGCTAGAAAAGCACTTGGCCATGGAGCCACAACCCAGCCCCTGGGGGAGAGTTCTCACTCTTTAAAATGTCAACCTGTCTTGAAGTTGTGCTGTTGGTGCAATGTGGGTACGCAGCTGCTTTGGGACAGCCACCAATCTCTTTCTAGTTCCAAATACTTGACTAGAGAGAATCGGCTGTCCTTTGCCACAGCCCCTCTTGTGAAAACTGACTCAAGGAACGAGTTCATTCTCTTCCCCTGGCTTCAGCACCTAATTATTTTGAGAGAGAACCCAGGCTCATACCATGAGGTGTTTCTCCCAAGACAAACAATAGTGTTTAGTGTGTGTGTGTGTGGGGGGGGAGATGACATGTTTAATTGCATGTTGATGGTGCATGTGGTGACATGTTTAATTGCATGCCATGCGGTACTAGTGCCCACTTTTGGTGTTCTCATTTGTCATCTGTTTTGGAAAAGTTTAATTACAGGAAACATCACTTTTATGAGAGTAATGAAGATTCAAGTTCAAGTGCCAGCGAACGCTCTTGGATCCAGAATTACAAACGGAAATCCCTAAGAACATATTCCCAGAGAAGGAAGCCAAGAGTCAGGTCTCTAAGGAGTAAGCTAGTTTGCTTATGTTCTTTTTGGGCCACTTCTCAGTTAAATCAATGGGTATTTATGTTTCAGTACGTGATGGGGGTGGAAGGTACCAGGGAAACATGTGGCCTTGGGGACATCCTTCCCTGTATCACCTATGAAGGCAGAATGTTTGCTCATGAAACCGAACATGGGGTCAGCCTACAGTTGAAATATGAGGTAAAGTGGTGGGCAATCTGGCTGAAGGAATCTGGCATAAGCTGGAACCACCTTCTGGAAGAAGTGGGTGGGTCTTGAGCTAACTCTTGGGAAAGAACAGGACTTGAAGAGCCGAGATGTGGAGTCATCAGCTCCCTGAAACCAAAGCAGGAGGGTGATGGCCAGGGCAGAGGTGGAGATGAATGAGCCTGAATGCCTAGAAAAGGCTCCAGATCGCCTCCCTTAGCGGAAACTCTAGTGTACCCATGCGTGATTGTGTGTGTGTGTCATAAGGAAACACGCTCATTGTGTGCTCACTTTCACTTTTCAGTCCTACCGCTTTCCCCCATCAGTAGTGACAGAGCTTGTGAGAAAGATCAGGTAAGAGCACTCATTGCTTGCCCTGGGTCCTTCTGGGTCCACCCACATCTTTATCCAGGACTGTGAGACTAACAAACCAGCGGCCTCCTGGTGTGTCGTCTGCTGATGTAAAGATCATGGCTGTCTAAATATTTGGTATGAGTCTCAGGTAGATATAAGGTCTATTTTGGCCATCCTGAATGCTGCTAATGGGTCTTTATTTAAACACCTCTGTTGTCCTGAATTCCCACCAATGCATGCTCTTGAATTTCCATTTCATAATGAGCGTGTTGATTCTTCTTTAGTTTTCAAATTTAAAAAATAACAATTTTAAAATCACATTCAAAGGGTTTTTTTTCATGATTTCAGCATTTGTGCCTGAAGTTTACAAGGTTGAAACACCTTCAGGTTCATATAAATTTTATCCATAAAGGTATAAAATTTCCAGTTTCTCTTCCTTTATTCTTGTTTTATATCAAAGGACTTAGGAATATGGACACCAGTGCCCTGAAAAGGAGGTGGCTAAATGACTTCCTTTTCTTCAGCAGCTGATTTTTTTGTTTCTTGGCAAATCACACACACACACACACACACACACACACACACACACACACGTCACTGGTTCATCATAGTTTAATAAGGAGTAGCTGCTGGGATTCTGAGGATACCTTACCTGTTTTTACAGAAATAGAATGGATGCCATTAGCACTTTAGCCCCAGCTCTGGCTACTTTATTCTTTAGCAAGAAATAGTCTAAAGCTATAACTCAGGATTAGTGTACTTGTCCCTTGGTGTCTGAAGCAACTGGTTCCGGTACCCTGCTTGGATACCAAAATCTGCAGATGATCATATGCTTCCTAAAATAGTATGGTATTTACATATGACTTGTGCGTCCCTCCTGTAGACTTGAACTCACCATTTAGATGGCTTAAAATACCCAACACAATGGAACACTGTGCACTTAGTTGCTGTGCTGTATTATTCAAAGAGAAATAACCAGAAAATGGTTTGTATATATTTGGTATAATCATATTTTCTTGAATATTTTTGATCCAAAGTTCAATGAATTCGTGGAAGGGAAAAAAACTGGATATGAGCAACCATCTTCAACTTTTTGTTGAATAGTTCAGCCTAGAATAAGGAGTTATTGGTAGTAAATGGGCCAAAAGAAGATATTCAAATAAATACAACTTTGATTTTAATTAAGCCCAAAGAAGCACCATAGACTCAAACCTAATATGTTAAAACTGTAAAACGAGCAAGAATTCTAAACTGGTTTTTCACTGAGGGTGTCCTGCTGATTTTCCATTCTCTGTGTTGAGTTACAAGGAAGTAATTTGAGGCAAGAGCTAGGAAATATTTTCTGTTAAGTGGAAGAGAAGTATTGTATTCTTTGAACCGTAGATTCGCCATTGGCAGCCTGCCATCTCTGCCATGCTAGTCAGAAAACTGCCTTAGACTGGAAACGAATGGGCCAACTGGGTATTTATTCATAAGAACTGGCAGTGAGCTGCAGCTTGTCAACCCCCACATAAGGTCAACAGAGTGACCAGGGTGACTTGGTAGGTACTGGACCCTGCCCCAAGTTTCTGATTGAGTAATTTGTAGGTAAGAGTCGAAGATGTGCATTTTTGTTTAGTTCCTCTGTTGCTGGTCATCTGGCCGGGACCACACTTTTAGGACCACGAGGCTAAAATTATCACTGAAGAATTTACTTCAGTGTTCTTCCAGTTTGGGGATGTTAGGGTTTTAGTATTCATTGTTGGTTAATGCAGCAAATAATACTCAGTATCCTTAAAGGATATTGGAAATATCTTGAGAGGTTTTTTTTGTTACTTTTAGTGTTTTGAATATTAGCATTTAACAAGTCTACTATATTTTAGGTTACGCTAACATCAGTATGGAAAGGCATCTCCAGGCAAAATGATGCCATTCTCCCAACATCCTCTCAGACAAAACTACAAGGGAGTTCTGTGCTTTTAACGCCTGTGGCATCTACACCGAAAACGGGTACTTGATTTTCAATTATTTTATATTATAAAAATTCTATTTGGGGATAATGGTCTAAAACAAACTAGTTTTTGACTTTGTAAAATTGGATGTGTGTTTTTGGGGGGCGTGCACGTGTGTGACAGCATCCATGTGGAGGTCAGAGGACACCTTGCAGTGATTGGTTCTCTCCTTTCATGTGGGCTCGTTCACTGCGGGGTTGGTCTTTAGCACAAAAACAAAACAAATCTAACTGTAACAAGAAATCAGCTTACCCAGTTATGACAACCTATTTTTAAAATGCTGTTGGCAAGGATGGAGACAATGAGGACTCTTATATGCCAAACTAGTGTAGCTCTTATAGAGACCAGTCTGAGGTTCCTTACAAAACAAAGAATAGACTTACATATGGTGTAACTGGCCCACTTCTCTGAATGTAATCAAAGGGAATAAAATCCGCGCACCAGAGATGGAAACCTTCAGGATGAGGCTTAAATATGAGCTTAAACATGAGCTAAAATATGGAATCATCCCAGGTGCTCCTGCTCAGAAAGATGCACAGGTAGCAAAAAATACAGCTTTTGTATGAAATTTTTTATTAAGCCATAGAGAGGAATGGCATTGCCTTTTGCATCAAAATGGATGGAACCTGGAGGATTTGTATGAAATAAGCCAAACATAGACCAGTACCTTGTGGTCCTTTCTCATTTGTAGAAGTTAAATTCCTCTTGGCAGTAGAAGCTGGACTACTGGAAGTTGAGAAGAGTATGTGACGTTGGGGAAGGTTGACAAAAGAATGGTTGGCTTTAATCAATACATACTATTTTGATGTATAGAAACATCACACTCTATTAATATGCACAATTTGTGTTAATTTTAAAATCGGTTATGTCCTGTATGCTAGAAGAGACTTACCTGTAACAAGATTCAAGAAAATGATCCCATTTATCATGAAAAAAAAATAATAGGCAGGAAAGTGAAAGTTCTGTATGCTGAAGAAGAAAAAGAAAAGACACTAACAAAAGTATTTGAAGAAGGTATGAATACATGGAAGGCTGCCTCATCTCCTGGACTTGAAAAAACGATGCTCTAAGAATATCACAGCATGCAACAGAATTTGCAGTCTATGTGAAGTCTTTGTCAACATTCTGAATACATTCTTCACCGAAATAGAAAAAGCCTAAAGATTGTATGAGACCCTGGAAAATCTCAAACTGCCACAGCAATCTTGGGAAGGAAGAGAGTGAAGATTCTCTTGTCAAAATTCCCGCATTTCAATTCCTATCACAGAGGTATAGAAAGTAAAGTTGATGCAAAAAGATACAGGCCAGTTGGATCAAATACAAACACCCTACATATGGTCAACTAATCTTTGCCAAGAATGCTAAGCTAAATGATAGGGAAAGAAAAGTGTTTAACGAGTGCTATGAGGAAAACTGGATATCTGCGTGCAAAAGAGTAGAGCAAGACCTCAAAAACCCTCAAAATGGATTAAATGTAGCATTAGAAACTATTGCAGCATGACTCACAGTAACCAAGTTGTGGAACTAACTTGGGTGTCTATCAACAGAGGAAAGGATAAAGAAAACGTGGTAAGGGCTACAGAGATGGCTCACTGGATGCTCTTCCAGAGATCCCGGGCTCAATTCTTAGCGACCACATTGGGTCTCACAACCATCTACAATTGGAGTTCCATGGGATCTAATGCCCTCTTCTGGCGTGCAGGCATACACGCAGACAGAACATCCATATGTGTGACGTCTTTTTTAAAAAGAAAGATGTGGTATATACACAAAGGGCTTTGATCATGCACCATGTCGTTTTCGGGATAATGGCTGCAATGGGAGCTAATCAGATTAAACGGTGCATCTGTAACAAGTCAAATGGTATTTTTGTTTTGTGTGTCTGGCTGTCTTAACTGCTTGTATGGATGTGTGCCATATATGTACCTGATCCCCATGGAGGCCAGAGGAGGGTATTGGAATCTTTGGAACTGGAGTAAAAGATGGTTGTGAGCTGCCATATGGGTGCTGGGAATCAAACTGGGGATCTCTGAAAGAGAAGCCAGTACTCTTAATCCCCAAATCATCTCTTCAGACCCTAAATGTCCTTATTGGTGGGTCCTAGACTTTATAGATACGTCAAGTCATAGAAACATATGACATGAAAGTAGACGGAAAGTTGTCTGTAGAGCAGAGGAGACTAATAGGCAAGTGGGTATTGGGGCAATGCGCTCAAAGAGTAAGGCATCCATGCGTGAAATGGCCTACGGGACCCACATAAAACAAGGGAACTGTAATGTTCTTGAAACAAAGCATAGGGAAACTGCTCCTTGACGTTGGTCTTGGCAATGACTTTTTTAGACATGACACAGAAGCAGGCACAGAAGTCAATAAGACTGCATCAACAGGAAAGTGATTGTAGGGCCAAGGGAATGTCTGACCACTTACAAAGAAGGCATTTGTATATAACCGGTCAATTGTTGATATTCAAAACCCGTAAGGAGCTTGCAGTTCTGATGTGAAAAAAATTAAAAATGAATGAAACACCCAAATGCCCACCCAATCTATAAAAATGTGCTCAGTGTCATTAACCCTAACCCATAGTAAAATAGTAACAACTTAAATGTCTACTAGTGAACGGGTGGTTGACAAAAATGTGGCGTGCATATGATTCTATCCTATGTTCTATAGAAAAGGAAGTCTTGCCTTTGTGGAGAAGATGAATCTAAAGAATGGTTCATTACATGGAATGAGGCAAACGGAGAGATGCTGGTGTGTGATCCTTACCTATATGTGGAATCTAAAAATTTCAAAACCCTAAGAAGCAGAAAATAAAATGATGTTTACCATGTGGGTGGAGAATGGGAGATGTCAAAGCATGCAAATCTTACATCTTCAGATGAACAGTTTCTGTAGGTGGCGAATGATGTGTTAGATTAATTTGTAGTAATTAATGATCTAGTAATCAGTAAATGATGTATGGGCGTATCAAGTCACCACACACAGGAAAGAGTAACCCAATAAAGGAGGTAACTTAAGTCAGAAGAGAGAGAAGCAAGGTTGGGCGGAATCCTTGTCCATGTTCTTAGGGGCAGATGGGCAGTCACTGAGGCAGCTGGTCAAACCGAGGCAACTGACTATTCGTTTTATGTAGGGGCATACAAGCCCAATGAGTATATGTGCCCCAAGAGACACACAACTTTTGTCTTTAGGACTGTTCTTCATCTTTTAATGATGAGATTCGATAGAGCAGCCCCAGAATGCTACTTGCCTTCATTTCTTATTCTATCTACTGAATTTGGAATTGTTTTCTCTAATATTCAGAACTTGGAACTCCTCATCCATCGGGCAGTTTCTCTTCCTTCGAGCACCCAGAAGTTGAAGAAAATGTCCCTCAGGTACAGCTTATTATTCTTTCAGTTTTCTAGAATTAAAATCGCCCTTGCATAAAAGCATTGCTTATTGTGTTGACATGACACTACAGTACCACTTTCTTATTTTACAAGTATGTACGTGTACCAATTGTATATGTCTGTATCTTATGTTTTAGATCGTGAGCCGAGAATTGTTCATGGAAAACAGCATCAAACACAAGCTGGAAAATTCAGAACACAGAGGTGGTTGAGTAATTAGTCTGGGCTATTTTTCCGATTGTACCAGAAAAAAACTCATCTTGCACGTGTTCCTTTCGTATGTGTTTTACAAAGGGATGATATTCTTTGATTTCATGATCTAATTCCTCTACTTTACCTTCAGGTCCTAACATTTTCTCTTCTGCTTTCTAACCAATCAGGATTTACTCTAAAATTTCTGATTGGGTAATTGAACTTTTCAATTCCAGCTTCATAGCATCTTGGATTCTCTTCAGTATTTCTTTTTTTTTTTTTTTTTTTTTTTTTTTTTTTTTTTTTTTTTTTTTTTTTTTTTTTTTTTTTTTTTGGTTTTTCGAGATAGGGTTTCTCTGTGGTTTTGGAGCCTGTCCTGGAACTAGCTCTTGTAGACCAGGCTGGTCTCGAACTCACAGAGATCCGCCTGCCTCTGCCTCCCAAGTGCTGGGATTAAAGGCGTGCGCCACCACCGCCCGGCTCTCTTCAGTATTTCTATCTTTTTATTGTAGCCACTTTTTGAGTTCTTAGTTGTCTTTATCATCCTCATTCAGCGTGATTGTATTTTCTTGGGTTTCAAGCAGGTGTTTCTCCTCTCCCCTTGAAGTTCATTGTGTGTTCTTATCCTCTTTAAACGCCCTGAATTCTTTGGTCATGTTGTTTGTTGTTTAAGTTTCGTGTCATTGGGTTCATCTAGGTAATTCTCCTTAGCAAAGATGTCCATAGTTCTTGGTTCTGGGAATGTAAATGGAGACTGTGCCTTCATTTTCTGGTCACCCAGACCTGAACAATCACACAGAAACTATTAATGACAACCCTGTTTGACTGATGGCTCAGATGTATTTTTAAATAGCTCTTACATCTTAAATTAACCCATTTCCATTAATCTGCATATCACCACAAGGTTGTGGCTTACAGGTTAGGTTCTTGCATCTTTCTCCTTTGGCAGCTACGTGGTGTCTCTCTGACTCAACTTTCTTTCTCCCTGCATTCAGTTTAGTTTTTCCACCTACCTATATTCTTCCCTACCATAGGCCAAAGCAGCTTCTTTATTAACCAATGTTAACAAAACATATTCACAACATACAGAGGGGGATTCCACATCAAGGGAGAGTCATGTCCTGGCCTCTCATAGTTGGTGTTTTGTGATGTGACCTGGGCACGTGGATTTATTCGACTGGTTGTACATCTGACCAGCCTCTATTGAGTGGGAGTTTTGGCTATTGTCCAAGACTGGTTGCCTTCAGATCTGGTCTGAAGATTTTTTTAGGTCAATCCTTCGGGTGTTTTGCCTTGAGTTTTGGCAGGAGAGATTGGGTTGATTCTAGTTCACTGGTAACCAAAAACGCAAGAGAATGTGGCTCCAAGCTTGGTCTGTGCATAGAAAGGCTGCGGTATGAGACACCAGTTCTGGGGCTGACTTACTGGTAGACTACGCGTGTGGTGGCTCTTTCTGGTGAGTAGGGGGGACATGCCTGCCTGTTATGATGGTGGGGGCTACTAATGCTCAGCCTGGGAGTAGGCATCCGATGGACTCACCCTGCTGCTTCCTTCCTGTGCAACTCCATATGGTCCTGTGTGGGGGTCTGGGGAACTTACCTGGCAAACTTTCCCTGCTGTGAGATTCCCAATGGGCTGGAGCAGAGAGGAGAGGTGGTCTGGCAAAGTCACCAAGCTGGTTTGTACTCCTGCACAAGTTTAGATGGGCTGAGAGTTGCGTGGGGTCTACCATGTTTTCTTTAGTTAATTCATCTGTTGATAAACTCATAGTCTCATGCTATAACTTGGCTATTTTGAATGGTGCTTCAAATGGATGACGAGGTGTCTCAGAAGTATGCAGACTTAGAGTCCATCGGATATAAACCCAGGAATGGTGTAGCTGTGTTGTATGGTCGTTCTGTTTTGAAAACTCTTCCTACTGCTGCCCACAGTGGTTGCACTAAATGTTCCCAACAACACTGGTCAATAACACAACCCATCCTTGCAGTATCTGTTGTTCACTTAATGACTGAAGTGAGATCAAATTTCAGTGTGTTTTTTTATTTGCATTTCTCTGGTGACTAGAACTGTCACATGTTTTAAAATATGTTTACTGACCATTTATGCTTAATTTTTGAAAACCATCTGCCTAATTTCTTTGTTAATTTATCAGCTGTATTATTTGTATATGTTTTGGAGTTCTTTATTATTTTTTCTAAACACTTGTCCCCTACTGGATATACAGCTGGAAAAGATATTCTCTCATTCTAAAGGTCTCTCCATTCTTTAATTGTCCCCTTTGCTATGCAAAAGCTTTCAGATTTTGTGCAATTTCATTCTTTAATTCTTACAGTGATTTTGTAAGCAATTGGAGTCTTTTAGAAAGTTCTCATCTATTCCTAGTTCTCAAAGTGCTTTTCCTGTGTTTTTATCCCATAGTTTTAGAGTTCCCAGATCTTATAGTGACATCTTTCATACAATTCAAGTTGACTTTTATAGAAAGTAAGGGTTAAGGATCTAGTCTCGCCCTCATATGTGTGCCTAACCCCCAGCACCAATTGTTGAAGAGGTACTAAAAGCTATCTACAGATTCAGTGCAGGCTCTATCACACTTTAGGTGATACTCTCCATAGAAGTGTGTGTGTGTGTGTGTGTGTGTGTGTGTGTGACCTTAAAGTTTAAAAGACCTAAATCACCAAAGCATCCCAAACAGGAGGAGAAAAACTGAAGGTATCACCGTACCCAACTGCAAATAATTCCACACAGTAACAGAAGCAATATGGTACTGACAGAAAAACACAGAGGTCAGTGGAAGGAATGGAGGATTCACAAATGAAGCCACAGCTACAAGTGTCTGGAAATAGTCTTGCTGTCCACTCTTCTGGCTTTATTGAGAACACTATGTTTAGCGAGTCTTGTGAAGCAGAGACCTCCTAAATGTGCCCGAGCTCATCAGAGGGATGTCTGTGACCAAGTCTTTCTCCAGACATCAGTAGACACCAGTGCTTTGATGCGTTGGCGGTGCTTGGTCCTCCAGCCTCATCATAAGCAATTAGTAACGAGGAGGAAATGAGGCTCATTTGTGTTGTATTGTTAGATATTAATTGGCAAAGAGAGGTCCACAGCCAGCGATAGTGCAATAAATAATGACTGCAGGGGTACCCACCCCCAAATGGGACAGCCACAACACAACTTCTACACCCAAGACTCAGGGACATCACACAAGCGGAGATGGGAATGTGTGTGTGTGGGGGGGAGCTTGAGGACTGGGACTAATGCTGTTTAACAGTTTCTTTTGCACAGGACAGGGATGTTTATACCCATGAACTCGTGGCAACAGGGCTACCCGCACCATACCAATTGACACACCATCATAGATGCAGAAAAACCTCACAAGGCCCACCCTAGGTGAAGAGCTACTGGACCTCAATGGCTGCTGAGGGAGAGAGAAATAATTTTTTTTTCTTTCAGGGATAAGACCTTAATCGCAAGGAGTCAGCCCTAAATGCATAAATACAAATGCAGTACTAACTGGACTCTATAAGATGTTCTTATATAAGTGTGTGTGTCTGTAGAGGGGGTAGATTGGGGGATGCAGGAAGAGTTGGTTGGGAGGAGGGTTGCAGAAAGACCCAAATCAGCATAGAGCAGTGTAGATACAGTAGGCACATATATAAGCTCCTGGAAGAAAAGAGAACAAGATATATCAACACGAGAGAAATACGCACACAAGTTTCAACGCAGTGCTGTTTATGTTTAGAGATGCCAGATGGAAGTATTGCTGCCCCGAAGCAATCAAGATTAGAAGATGCTCCAGGATCCCCCGCTGTGACAGGTGACTCCGCGCACCCAGCCAGCAGCTAAGGGAGGGGCGATTGATGCGTCTCTTCTTAATGTACCAACGTGAATTACAAAAGCTACATTCTAAGATCACCAGGGCTACTGCAGCCTACGTGCTAAGCATTTTGTTCTTTCTGAGATGAACAAGTTGTTCCACAAATTGTAGATAAAAGCAAGCACCCTCCCATTCTATCATTTTGAGGTCTGCACCGTAGCTCCTCTCTCCGATCTGCAGGGACTAATATTAGAGACTTCTGTCTAGTTGGTAGTTATTACATGTGTGTACATACATAGTTTATAATCAAAGAGAGTGACCTGGCATGTGTACGTGAACTTGGCCAGTTTTCTGGATGAGTAGTACTTTGTATTGAAATGAAGGGCCCCCAAAAAAGAAAAAGTAAATTGATTGGGAAGCCCAGAGGCGTAGGGTTATGATTTGAGACAACCTGCATCCTATTCCTGCAGAAGTCACATGGTGTCCATGTTTCAGGCGAATCCTAGAAGCACCTACTATGGTTTTTGTAAGGAATGAATGAGTTGGGGAATGCAAATCCTTAAGAGACCTCTTATATCCGTAGGTTAAGTCTGGCACCCAGAAACTCTGTTAGGTCACCCCCATTGGCGTGACCTGCTCTAGCCTCTGTTATTTATGGACACACCTACGCATGCTGTAGTGCATGTGCGGGGGTCAGAGGACAACTTTCGGTGCCAGTTTTCTCCTTACACCATGTGGGACCCAAGGATTGAACTCTGCATCAGGCGTGGTGACGTGTCCCCACCCACTGAGCCATTTCACTGCCCCCCCTGTTGTGTATTCTTACAACTTCCTGTGATACCCACGTCTGTTCGCAGACACAGTATCAACTGAGCTGATTTTAGGTGCTGAGGAGGTTAGGACGGAATGAACATTTGAAAGAGGGTGGGGTTTGGTGGGAGGGAGCATGAGGTGCTTGTGTGACTCATTCAGTATGAGCTAGCTAGTGTGGTCCTGGCCAGGGTCAGCCTTGTTCCAGAATCAGATCCAAATAGCTAGTTGGGGGTGCGTATGGTTTATATTCATGCTTCTGAAAAAGTGGTCCATTCTCTGGCCCAGCAAATAGACCAAGGATGTCTACCTGAGCATTTTTTGTTGTCTTTAATATTTTATTTTTGTTTATCAGATATTTCTACTCCATCCCAAGAAGACATGCCAGATAGCGCAAATAGCTCTGCTTTGAAAACAGCCCTTGAGAACTTCACTAGAGAGATGAAAAGAAGATTTGAGGTATCTGTCCACTAAATCAGGAAGTAAAAAGTGAGCCAGAAAAACACTGTATGGCCTCACCAATATATGTAATATCTACAAAACTTGAATGAGAAGGCCAAGTAGTGGAAGGTGGTTAACAGGAACTGGGGAGAGGGAGGGGGAATGGGCAGGCACTGGTCAGCAGGTGCAAACGGACTGAGCGATCTCTCCAGTTCCATGTTTTCAGTTTGTCAACTGCATCACCCAATAAAGCTGGGCAAAAAGGCGATAGAAAGAAACTCAGTTCACTCTGGATTTAACAGGCCATGCTCCTTTTGTTCTTCAGTGCAATCTCCTTCACGTATGAAGGTCTCCTGGGTGGGAGGCAGGGGCACTCATCTTGGCTGTGGTCCCTGATTTTTCTCGCCATTCTGCACTGTAATTTGTATTGATAAGACTACTCCCTGTCCATTCTCTCCAGTGGGACCAAATGTTCTTGGCTTGGTTTCACTGGTGGCATTCCCAGAAGGCAGTGATTTGGCACAGGGCCAAATTAAGGAGGGGACTGTGTGTGGGAGAGCAGACTCAAAGACACAGGAGGCAGGGAATGTAGGAGGGTGTCTGTTTAGTAACAGCAGATCTTTGAGGCCCTGGGTGTAAAAGCCACCGCAGCTTTGTCTGTGAGATGTGTATCACAGCAATTTTAGGCTCCTGTGACCTTATCCTATGTGAAAGTCCCCAGTGATGTCTGTATCAGCACATCTGAGAAAAATATCATCTCCAGCCAACATCTTTCTAATAATTCAGGAGACCTCCAGAATTCCAGAATCCCGGCAATGTATAGTGGCCATATTATATATA